ATTGTGAGAATAAAAGCACAGCCTTACTGGCACAATTCGTCTTGCACAATGTTTTTAAGAATAGGCTCTGCAACGCTAGATCTGATCCACAGTGTTATTGTCTTATTGGTAACTTACAGTAAACATGTAATTAGTAGAGATCAAGAAAGCATTTTAACTAGTTCAGCAGTTACTAGCTCCTAGTAAGTCACTCAGAGTTTGGCAGGAATCTGTGGTTATTCATGACTGGGGCTGCCAGCCATGTTTCTAGAAGGAAATAAAGCTTGCAGTCATATCTGGAAAATCATTTGGCTACAAATGCACAGTATGTGAACAGTATTCAATGTGAAAGCAGCAACTGTGTTAATGCCTGGAAACACATTTGAAATGGCCGGGACTAAAGCAGTCCTGATAACAAGGAGAACCTGGTGCCAATTTTCTTTAGCATTGTAATTGACTAAATAAAGAGAAGTGAAATATCAGCTTCAGCCACACAATAAATATTTTCTTTTTTGGGGGCACAAGAGTAAATAATTGTAGTCAATGGAAACTTAGATTTGCATGCACCTGCTAAAAAGATATTTGGTATTTATGTTTATATATAAACTAGCAAATAATCCAATGAAAGTGAGTTTTAGTTCTTCTGCACAGAGCGTGTCAATTTATTGCAACACAGAAAGAAAACATGATGATGATTAAACGGATTGCCCTCGTTTTCTGCAGTCTCTGAAGTTGCAATTCAAAATACAACCTGCAAAAAGATTCAACTTCAGTCATACTAATCATCACAAATCGATAGCTTGGATCGAATAATGTTCGATCCAATATTTCTGACACCTCGCATAATTTTAAACAGCGACAATCTGTTCCATCCTGATAAACAAATTCAGCACACAGCACTTTTCCTTTGCTAGAGGTGAAGTTTTACTTGTTCTTTCTAAAAAAGGAAAAATATTATCTTTTATGATTCACAAAAAAAAATATTTTTTATTTATTACATTTTAATAGAGTCTCGCAAACACACTGTGGAGAGGAAACACAAATACGTTTACTCTGCCCAAAGCAGTCTCCATAGCAACAGCTCAGAAAGCCCACATCTTAAAGACACTTTGATGTGTCCCTGTTGTCCCAGATTTACAACTCATCACCAGGGACATTTTAATTTAATTATTGGAATCTAATCACAAGCAAGTTCTTACAATAAAAGCAGGATTAATGCCACTCCGATGTTTTATGCCAGTCTATTTAAAAGTGAACATTGAGAGTTCTTGCAAGATGAAGATAATAAAATTGAGCCTCTTAATAATATATTCAGTTAGCCTTTTTTAACAAGAATATACGGAACAGAAACCTGTCTTCTGTGATTTATTGTAAATACACCTTGGAGAATTACTATGCTAAAAGCAACATTTTTTTTTCCAGGTCAAACAGACCTGGGCTGAAAACTAAAATCTCTTTACTAAAAATAGATACACAAACAGAATTACTTCATTTTTGAATTCCACTCATAATCTACACTTACAGTATTGGAAATAATTAAAGAAACAGAAGATACTGGACACATATTGCAAATGGCACTAAACAAATATGTACAAACATAAACACAATTCATTAACACTGAACATGTTGTTCAGAACAACGTCCTATAACACTCTCCAGAATTCCTCCAAGCTGTTGAACCTTCTCAGCCTGCTCATGAACAAATATGGCTTGAAGGTGTTAGTATTGGAGCTTCGTTAGGCCACACATCATTGTGCGGGTCCCATCAGCCTCTCTCCTTCCCAGGAAGGGTGGTTCTGTATTTGCTGAGTGCTTGGGGTCATTTGTCATGTAGAAATCTGAGTCCCTGCCAGTGGGAACAGATCCAGAGTCTGGGTGCCGTCAATAAAGCAAAGTTCCTGACACCCGTGACTGGGATACAGCCCTACACCAGGACTGATCCACCCCCATGCTCTACTGTAGCAGCTGTACCCCCAACTGTGATGCTGTTCTCCAGTCCGCCTTCGAACAAACTGACATTGATTCCTGCCAAATAGCTCAAACCTGGACTTGCCTGTAAAGATAACTTTTTTCTAGGTTTGATCATCCCACTGTTTTTTATCTGTTGCCCATTTCTGTCACTGTACTGTATTTTACTGCTTTTCCAAAAACAATGGTTTCTGAACAGCTTCACGCCCACTGAGTCTGTTCTGAGCTAATATGTGTCTTAGTCAACTAGCTAAATTTAAATGGATCTCAGCTAGATGTTCCCTCCCGTACTTGCAACAGGGTCATGTACAAGATCTCTGCTGGATCACAGCCAGTCATGTGAAGAATTTGCCTGGAGAACTTTTATATTGTTTTTCAATCATTTGGGTTTTCTTCTCTTGTCAAGTTTCACAAATCTTCTTCAGGGTCACTTGCTCATGGCCCCAGGTGCAACATAAGATCAGGCTGCAAGCTGCAGATATGAGTTTCCTTCCTTAGCTAAAACCTTGATATCTATGTTCGTGGTTGGCCATTTCTTTCCCGGAAGCCATCACTAACACCACATGTAGCAAATTTTAACAGCATCTCGCTTCCTGTACTTTCACACGGTGCCTCGTAAGAGTTTTCAGATTCTTGCACAGTTTTCACATTTCGTTGTTTTAAAGCTTACGATCATGACACTTTGAAGTATCAATTAATATCTGCCACATACACATCTTATTCCACCTATTAAGTGGACAATCAATATGAAAGAAAGACTGAAATCTCATGATTACATAATATTCAAACCCTTTGTTTGTTTCAGTGTTTCATGCGAGTTCAGATTCAATAATCTGTCTCTCTGTGAGGTCCTGCAGTCAGTGAATTTCAACTAAAGATTCAACCATGAAGACAACGGAGCTCAGGAATAATGTAGCAGAAAAGCACAGAACAGGAGAAGGCTGCAAAAAAAGCATTTCAAAGGGCCTTAAAATCGCTTTCAAAATGATTACGTTGATGAATAAGAAGATGAAGGCATGTAGAAACTGGGTCGATCAGACCTTCCCAAGAAACTGAGCAGGTGGAGGAGGAAAAGTGGTGAGAGAGGCCACTGATGCCAAGGTCAAACCTCACCTCCAATCCAGTATGGGGCTTGCAACACAGCCCCTGTGTTATACTAATATATATGTGGCAAGACATGTTGTGGTCAGACCTGACAAAATTGGAACTTTATAGTCTAAATGAGAGGTGTCACCTCTGACAGAAACCCAACATACTGCAGCACATCACTCTGTCAACACCATCACTACTGTCAGGCATGTTGGTGGCAGCCCTGGAGTGACAGTTCTGCTGCTTATTAGCAGGGACTACAGGTTCATCACGACTGAGAGGAACACAATACCGGAAAATCCCAGAGGAAACCTGCTTCGGATTTAAAAATAAAATCATCTTTCAGTGGGACAGTGATCTGGAATGGCTAAAGAATGAGCAGGTGTTTCCTTTGATGGCCCCGTCAAAGACTATGGAGAATCAGTGGAAACACATGACCCCCTCACCCCCAGACCTGAGCCTGGGATGTCTGCCAGGACGAAGGGGCAATGGTTGCAGCAAGCCCGAATGCAAAGCTGGTAGAGACCCACGGACATCGGCAACCGAGACTGCTGGTGAAAATGATCTCCCACCACACGTGCAGTTCGCAGGTCTGCACACTTACGCAATTAACACGTTTACGTTGTTTCTCTGGAGTTTTACTGAAATTTACTGTAAATGATCTAACCCCCTGAAGTCTTCATTTCATGTTGTTAACATCGATTTTTCCGCATTTCAAAACTGCTTTTTTTCCTCTAGCGACGGTAAATGACGTCGACCCGGCTGACCTTCAACCCTATAGTGCTCCTAACACCCAGAAATCCGCTCGCGGGATCATCCGTCCGCACAGGAGGCTTGAAATTTCACAACTGTGGACATTTCAGGGATCAGCTTAAAATGATGATAAAGTAAAAATGAACAGACCGCATTTTAGAGCAACTGTTTCTACCGTGCCACAGAACTGCAGCGCTTCAATCACATTACAGCCTGTTCGCTGAGCTCGCATGTCATCCCTTCCACTGTCGCTTCTGCTCGAGTAGCTGCTGTACTACTATACCATGCGAGTTCTACACGTATCGTTTATCATTACCATGATCATCGTCATTATCATTCTCATTTTAACACCTTTTTTCATTTTTATTTTAGGGCTCACGCGATATTAATGTGAGGACTGTTCATTTCCGAAGTAAGAAAGTTCCAAAATTCAGGACCACCTCCTGGGCGCACGGGATTTCACACTGACGCATTCATTTTGAAAACGTTTCCCTATCGATTGCACGGTCAGGTCGTGCTCTAACCTGCCGGGGAGACCGCGGTGAGTTCGCTCGCCAGGCTGGCGGACCGGAGCGCGTCTCCACACGCAGGGTAACGAGCCGGCCAGGAGAACCCGCTCGGAGGCTAACTGGGCTGGGCAGGCAGTCACTCGACATCTCTCAGAGCTCGGATTTCGTTACCCTGATAAACTCTGTCGGATGTGAGAGTCTCTCTGTAACAAACATGTAACATGTAAACCACCCGCATTCCTTTACTGCTTGCTTCAACAGAATTCATCCAACAAACCACCAACTACTGAGGAGTTGGGGGGTGGAGGGACGTTAAATTAGTTACAGGCGGAATATTTTTTCTTTACCTAATTTCTTTGCGAATGAATTTGAAAACAACTGCTGTCGTCGATACTGTATAGCGATTTGTAAGGTTGTAAGGAAAAACAAATACAACCTGAACTAACAATTTAACAAAAGCAGGTAAGTGCACTGGTTTTTCGTGGTCTTTAATGTTGTGTTGCCTTCAGGCAAATCGCTTACATGTAATAATAAAAAACATACCCCAAACGTTAATCAAATATACTGATTTATACAAATAAAGCATATGAGTTTACTCACGTCCCGCAACTGAAATATACGGACACACACACACACAGAAGGCAACAACTTTTTGAAGAAAAAAGTAAAACCCACTCAAGTCAGACTTTCAAAGGACCCTACCTGGCTTGTGCTGGCGGGGAAAGACGACAGAGGCGGGACATCCATAATCTTCAAATCGTACATGTTACCATTCAAAATCACTGAAGGTCTGTACACATACCTTGAGTTGGTTGGGGTGTAAACCTCAGTGAAGTCATTGTACAGAAATTGACGTATAATGGAAGTTTTCCCCACTCCAGGGCCTCCAATGATCGCAATACTTAGCGTCTCAACCATGCCGGGGATAGCGGTACCGTGGACAGCGGTACGCAAAAAAACTTCCGTTCAATCCGGGGCGCACGGATCCCAGATCGGATTGATACTGTACCCCTTCTGCCAGCCTTTATGAAAGTAAGCGAAACCCCTGTCCCGTATCTTTTCCAAAGGCTCCACTTTTATGTTTTATTCATAACCAGCGAAAACAACAAAAATGACGCCGATTCACTTATTATGTGCGATCCAGAGCTGGATAATTTTAAATCGTCTGTTTCTTTATCAGTCATGATTTCTTATCATGCAAAAAGGTCTATTGCTTTTTTTTTTCCTCTCTCTCTCACACACACACATATATATATATTCCGCTTAAACGGACATCATTTAAGCATCCAGCTTGGAAAAGCGATCAATTTCGCAGCGTCTGCAAATTCCTTCGCGGAGAAGCCCCTGGCGCTCATCTCAAAACAAAACGCGTTCTGATCGCCTGTTTCTGGACGGCATAAAGTGTCTCTCTCCCTGCCCTTAGTCCTGTGACGGATGGAGGTCTTGCCTTCATCGGATTTTGGCGAACCCGTCATCTAGTCCTCGGCACTTTGTGCACAGCTCCGGATACACCAAGGACACTTGACACGGAGCCCCCGCGATCGCCAAAGCCGCCAGCACCAACCAACACGTGATGCCGATACAGTTCTCCGAGCCCCCAAACGATCATTATAATCCCCTCACCCACTACAAGCTGTGTCTTGTCATTTCATCTGATAGACTAAAAGGCTGCGAACACGCTCGGCTCTCAGTTGTCAGCCCTCGGGAGACGGTCAGCGCATACGCGCCTGAGATCGCTTCAACTCTGCCGTGCAGTGTGTGTCTGTGTTTGCACTTCCAATGGCAATCTCATCGCCGCGGTCCGCTGGTCTTCTGGGCAATCAGCTCCCCCCCTTCGCTCTTTTATTATTCTCCACAGTTTTTTTCCTTCCCTTGTGAGCTCTAGATGAAGCACAAAAGACGCACAAGATTCAGGAAAGTGAACCCCCCCCCCCCAAAAAAAAGACCAAACTGTTCTGTTCTGACAAAACGCCTCCAAAATATTCGGTCATCGCCTGGAGAAAATACAGTATAAAGGAACACGTGTGTACAGGATTCCTGTCATTTATTTTTAGTCTATTTTTATCGGGCCGATGATTTGGTTTGTAACAACAAGCTCCTCTTAGAGGAGCGCCCTCCAATCTCCTCCACACATGACTACAAATCCAACAGCTTTAGAGGGCGAAGCTTTGTTTTATAGATTTCTGCGCGCATGAAAGAACTACAGCGTGTGATATAACGCGCAGCGCCAGAAACAATGCGCAGAGATGGATTGGGGCCGAGCCGCCGAAAAGACCGCGGCTTGGAGTTAAAGATTAGCTCCTTTAAAAGCTTTATCATTCTCCGACAGACACAAATTTCGTATTTATATCCGTTCTGGTGAATAAAACCCCGTGTCATCACCAAGAGGCTTTCTCCCGAACCGAGCTGCAGTGAGTTATGTTGCCCTGGATAAAATTAGTCTCATTGTTAGTTACACTTTTAATTTGCCCACACGCAAACATGCTTTAGTTTAAAAATATTAAAAATAACAATAAAAAGGTTGTCAGGAAAAAAAAGAGCTACCCTGACTGTCGTGACGGCAGTTCTCATTCTGGCTGGGCTCTCAGCTGCTTAATCAAGCTCCTAACTTAACTAGTAATTTGATCGATTAATGACTTGTTCTCCGTTATCTTTGAGCCCTAAAATGTTGCAGTTTTCACATTATTTATTAACTCAGTTTTTAAGGATCAATTTAAATGTTAGTTCCAGAACTGAAGAACTGAAAGCAGGTTTAATAAGTGAATTCCAAATTAATTGATCTAGGCAATCAGTTACCAATCGGCATAACAAGAAGAAGAAGTAGGGAGCTGCGTCAGCATGCGTAGGCTGCAAAGGAACAAGTAACAGGTGTATTCCCTGCTGAAAAGAGAAGCAAAGAAACAACGTTTTGGGGGTTCAGCCTTCTTCAAGTGTGTGGTATAATACTATTGTTTTATATAGCACCTTTAAAAGTAGCATCTCCAAGCGCTTTACAGTGGGTGTAAAAACAATTAAGACAAAAGATGCAGTACACAGATACAGACTCTTACGTAAATAAAAGCCTTTCTGAAAAGAAAAGGTGACTGTCTGATATCCTTATGGATGGAGCTCCAGAGATCTAAGGCGTAACAGCAGAAGGGCCTGTCACCCACAGTACAGCATGTCCACAAGGTTAACGGAGAGAGATCAGTCAGATGAACAAAGGTTGCGAGGTGTGGAGTAGGAAGATAGTCATAAAGGCATTGAGGTGCCAAGTCATGTAGCCTTACAGGTGAACACGAGGATTCTGACATTGACTCAAACCCCGGGTTTTTATATCAGAGATGCAGTTGGAGCATGCAGAGAGCCACTTCTGTGTCAGGTGTAGTATGGACATACAGTAGATACAGTAAACATGTTTATGAAGAACACAGCCTTGGGTTGAAAAGACAGATAAAAGGAAGATCAGTGGCATTACTAGGGGTACAGTACTGATGATTCGGGGTAACAGGATGGCATCATGATGGTTACCACTGTACTGCCGCCTCTCAGTGCCAACACCTGGTTCAGTTAAGTTGATAATTAGTTGAGCACCTGGAGGAATCCCACAGGGAGAAGATACAAACTCCAGGCGGACAGAACCCCAGGTCCAGAATTGAGCCCAGAGGCCCAGTGCTGTGAGGCAGCAATGCCAACCACTGAGACACGGTGCTGCCCGTTTCCACACTAATATTCCTGAATTCATTCCAGATTAGTTCAGATTCATTCACTTGCTCACACACACACGGAGTGAAACATGCTAATTGGTCTCATGTATATAGAATTCAGCTTGAAGGTACTTACCCATAATGATGCTTTTTGCTAGGATGAACGCTACTCATTGTGTAATGAAAGGATCAGCAAATCCTCATCCCAAAAGATCTGTGTGTGCCCCTTTAACATAACGCGGAATAATTACAGATTTGCTAAAATATGTGCAGCTGATTTTAAATGTTTAAATTTTGAACATCTCTCTGACAATATGGGATGTAATAAACATTAACATGCTATCAGTTTAAAATGAGCTTTGCAGCAGGGCAAAATGGAAAACCAACCCACAACCAGATCCCATTCCATATCCATTTCTGCTTCACTTATCCCAGTCTCAGGATCCACAAAGACTAATAGACAGAATGATGAGGCACCAGTGACTCCCCTGAATGACAATGAACAAGCCCACTACACCTGAAGGAGCACCCAGAAATGATACATCTCATTTTACATGTATTTACTGGACCATCTCAAAAGAAGACATGTCAAGAGGGAATAAGGATTGAAGCTGATTCCATTGAAAGCAAAACAAATAAATTAAACCACCATAAAAACATTGAGATTGATTTGACTCATCGTATAGTAAATCAAGACTATTATTCTTATACTATTGCATTAGAAATATCTTCATTTCTCATTTAAGTCTTTCGCTTGCCTAGGCAATATGATAATTGCTCCCGGAGCAATAACTGCATTGCTAACCAACCATGATTAACAGAGCGTGCTCGTCTGGGGGATGCAGAGAGATGTGTTTTAAATATAGCAGGCGAGTGGAAACAACTGCAATCTCACATGATTTAAAAATAGGTGATGGAATAGGAGGATTTTTCTGCAGAGCATGTAATAGGTTTGGATTGTCAAATAACCATGAGAGCTTTCTTTGTTTACGCAATATTATATTATTGTCTGGGATTATTTGTTACATTGGGCTCATTTTCAGACTACTTTGACATGCAGTTGTGCTTCAAGCATTAGAACATTTTTGCTGTTTCCTACATATTTGATTGTGTAAGAATTGCCATTTTTCCCTCTTGAGTTATGAAATGGTAAGCTAATTAGGATATAGAATGGAATCCAGTCCTAGGCTTAATGCCAGGAACTGAATTAGCTTGGCTATCTTTCCGTCACTCCGTGAAGTGAGGGATAGTGTTACTTTGAAAGTTGATCTCGATGGGGATTTATGTGCATCGATCCCAGAGACACTATAGTTTGGATATGTACGTCTTTATGGACGGGCATGTCATTTGCTTCTGATTAATGAATGTATTGACCCGATGCGACACTACATCTGACAGTCGAGTCTTTGACAGGCATCAAAACGTCTTAGAAGAATAATACATCCTAAAGATTTACAGAAAGATCAGTTATGCTGAGTTCAGGTAATATTTGTCACTAGCTGTTCTGTTCAGCTGAAGAGGAAATTAAGAGTAGCACAAGCACGATTTATAGACTGGAAGCTAAACTGAGTAATTAGGAGAATGAAATGAAAATGAAGAGAAGCTAGACTGGTTTTGTGGCTTTTTTTTAGCAAACCCACAACTCAAACTGTGTTTTCAGAGATGATGTGATCACATCTAAATGTTAAACCCTGCTATAATTAGAAACACTAATTACAATGCAGTAAACTGGCAAGATATGAGCACAGTAGTGACATGTGATAACACATTCTTTTTTATGTACATTTGTTGTAATTATTTCTACTGTACAAACATTAAAAACTGAACTTTGGAGAATGTGGGACATTGTCCATTCATGTAGAAGCAGATTGATATGGGCCTACCTATGTCAGGGTGGCCTGACTCTGGTTTGTTACCATAACAATTGCAAATATTCTTGGACTTTTAAGAAAGTTTACAAATGAGTGGATGTTGTTCGGCACGTCTGGCCTGTTTGGTAGTTAGCAGTTACCTGACCCAAGGACCTCATCCGTCTGTTTCTTGAAAGAAGCTGGAGTATTGACTTGCACAATATGACTGGATAGCTTGACTGGTCCCTTCATAATCATCGCTTTTCAAGACGAAAAAGGAACTAATCTTTCAGCCTATCAGTGTAGGTGCAGTTTGAACATCAGTCTAAAGAAAGGAGGCTCTAGGATTCTCAGCTGCAAATTGAAGGGGTGCTGTGATTTCTATTGTCAAATCAGCTTAAAGTACAGCATAAGAATCTCTGCTTCCGAGCTGGAGACAGAACTGGGCTTCTTATACTCTTTTTGTAAAAGCAGCCTTCAGAGAACATGGTGGCACTAGCAGGGGTCGTGGTGACCCCAGAAACAGTGAAACCAGGATGTGGAAGTAAAGGGGATCGGAGGAGGAGAGTCTGCGGCAGGCCATCGTAGTCTTACCTGGGTCACACTGAGCTCTGGCAGGGCCGCTGCAGAGAGGAGCTGCCAGAGAACTCTGTGGGCTCTGTCTGTCCTCTCCTCACGCTGCAGACACGGCACTGGTGCTGCAGGCTGCAGGCTGCAGATGCACAGCAGAAGCTGTCGTCCTGTGCCTTCCTGAAGGTGCTGCTGTTAGGGCAATGCAGGTTGATTGCAGGAGTACGAGGGCACCATGTCCTGAGCTTACCGAGAGTCTGTGAAAACAAACACGGCCACAGTGGTGGCGTCATATTTTCAGTGCCCTGCTGAAATCAGTCTTAGTATTGCAAACGTATCACTGGGCATTTTCTCCTCTTTGTGCTGGGCTGAATTATTGTTTGGTCAGCTGATTGAGTGATTGACTACAGTAGAAGCAAGAAGCTTTTGCTTGTCGTTATCTACTGTATATTTAGACCGGGCACTAAGGGCACAGACAAGTGATTTAGAAGAAACTATTTTTATTAATGTGATGATTTATTAGAAGCAGATAAATACAACATCAAAACCATTTTGTTGTTTCTTTGAACCTTTATAAAAGCATCAAGACAAAAGTAAATATACCCAAGGTATCAAAATGAATATATATCTGGACATGGTGCAGCATTCCTTCACAAACCCAGAACATTTCAGGAACCCAGGAGACAATAGTTACGTGACTTAATTATTGCACTGGGGGTGTCTCTAACCCTGGCCCTGCTGCAGCTCGTTCTGTGTCACCCAGAATCACCTGTATTTTTATCCTTTAAGCAGGTTATTTGTTCAATAAAGGGAACTCTGGTTCTTGAGAGCTGGAGACTTCATTCAGCTTAACTGAGTGGAACTAAATTGTTCCAGGAATTTAGAAATTGATAATGTAATGACCACCTATTAAACCTGGACTGGAGACCTCTGTAGTAGGGAAACTCAATTTCCCATGACAGGAAGCAATGTATGCAATATAATGGGCAAATACAGCAATCCTTATAGGTAGTCAACATTTCAACATAAGTATTTCTGCAGGCTGAGACTTTTTTACAAATGCTTGAACATCTTTGAAGGTAAAATGCGCATTGAATCAAGGGGCTAAAATGCCTTGCTAGTTCATTGTTGCTTTTCCAGGGGAACGTTGTAGGAACAGATGTCCACATGTCATTTAATAATCGCAGGAAAATGTTTCCTTCTAGGGGCCAATAAACAGAATGCAACCTCTCAAGTATTCACTGTAAATAAGAAACAAAATGCATGTTTTATCTCTTAATTCTGGCACAGAAGAAGTAGCAGAAAGCCATGCTTTTGACTCTTTCAGGTTTCTTTTGTGAATACACATACTTAAGACGACTGACCCAGCATGAAACTGAAAATTAATTGCTTCCAGGAATTAAATGGATTGGATTCTTTATGTTTTTGAGATGGTAAAAGATAATTCGATACGTTAATCCATAACTAAGTCACAAGAATGTCTTGGCGGAGAAAATTGCTTTTGGACTGCATTAATCAGTAGGAAAAGTTTGATTTAGTATGACAAGATTAATAAGGATCATTGTCATTAATGATTCACATTTTGTCACCTGGTATAAGGATCACATTTACTGTTCAAGATTTCCGACTTTCATATCGGTCCCCAATTACACAAGACAAGGCCACAAAACAGACATTCATGGAAAACAACACTGCTTTGGCAGATTTCTTTTTGTTAGGATAATAAATGCACGGATTCCTAAAGCTCCTGAATTATCTCCGTCAATTTGACTACAGTAAAATTGTATGCATTATAAATTATGTACCACTCCAAAGGGATCTTTCTCAGACCTAGCTCCACTTGCTTCTTTCAAATCCTAGCAGTCACTAGGAAGATATATAAATGCAATTAAACTTGAATTAGTTAAATAAAAAGGACCCACTTTTTCTTCCCTTTATTATCCGGAGGTGGAAGATGGAATGTAAAATAACAGAAGTAGAACTCATTAAAACATATGCTGTGTATTACAGTATCTAGATATTTTGCCTGCCTCTGAAAACTATGGTGCTACTGCAGAAAGTATTATATATGCAAAGGTTCAAAGTCTTTTTTTATTTGCCAGATCAGCAGTAGAATCTTATCTCATAGATCTGTAACTTTCAGAAAATCAGCTGGTAATAAATGGAAAGAGAGGATTTTGTCTTGTTTTGTTTTTGCAACACAAAACCTGCACAATGCTTATGACGATCTCAAAAAGCACAATCCAGGTAACGATTTCTAGATCATTTCTGAAGAAAAGAAATGACTGAAGAGAGGACAATAAAAATAAGATCAATGCAAAGGGTTGTGACCCTTCCGATCACTGACTTAATTAGTGCTTTTAATTAAATCAACTACTCTACGTCCAGGGCAAATAGCGCTTTATAGTTTCTTGGTAGTGTGGCAAGTAATGTATAATCCAGCAAATAGGACTTGTAAGTGAGGTATAAATCAGGCAAACTAATAAGGAACAACACTGTACTTCTTCATGGGCGCCTTTATAAAAAAGAATGCACTTAATGTGACCGATTTCAGGCTTCTTATAGGATTTTATGAGGTGCTGTCATTTGAAAGAATAACCGAGTTTGTGCAATGCAAAGTAGACAGTTCTCATTGAATCAGCCTTTGACAGATCAGTCTTTCCTTTTTAAATGGTCCATACATCTTTGCATAATAGCACATTTGCTAAATTCATTGTCACAGTTTTGGCTTTACTGCAAAATAAAACCTTCTGAACATCTCACTTGCTTTCTCCTTTTCCTTCCAGGCTGAAGGTGTTCAAATGTACATTTGATCCCATGAGACTGAATACTTAAATAAGTCAGGGCAGGCCTCCAGTTTGTCTTATTAAACTAATTAACTCAAAGTGTTTCAGCTTTCATTAACACTCCCTAGTCTGTGGTTGAGTCATCTCTCATTCCAATAAATGGACCAAACTTAAAAGTACAAAGATAACAGTTCTCTCAGGTAGAGCAGCAGCATTGCTGAATGTCAACAATACTAGCAGACACTAGGGAACTCGCACAGAATGCCTTCTACTTGTTCGGTTTAAGGATGTCACACAAAACATCAAAACACATCCCAGTAAATATCCCAATTGTGAGGGGACAGAATTCATATTCAGTGCATATTAAATGTTATGCTGAGATGACACTCTGTATATCAGTGAAAATGAATTGAAATAAGGTAAAGCAGCAAAACTGAAAGCCTCACCTCCTACTTGTGATCAGCTGATGTCTCGAGGATCAGACCCGGGTCCTTCTTCCTGGCTGAAGGGCTTGGCTGTCCAGCCCTCTAGGTGCTTCCTGAGCACCACACAGCTGGAGCTGAGCAATCGCAGGGGATCTCTCATTGCAGTGTTCTCCAGGCAACAAATATGCAGTTCTTTTTTATATTAATATTAATGAAAACAATATCATGATGGTGCTGAAATCAAGCTGGTGCTGAAAAATGTCCCTTAACAACATTTGCTTATGTGCTTGAGAATCATTTTACCATTAAACTACCCAGGCGGAGTTTAAGAATATTCAATCAAACTTGAACACTCAAGAGTACACAAAGTACACTCATCACTTCACAGTGAAATTCTACCTACAAGAAGTTTCTCTGATCTACCTGAAAGTCACCCCCTCTCCAGTGATCTAAACTAATCAATCTCAACTGGACCTAGAGGGCCAGCTGAAGCTGGGATTCCAATACAGACCCAAGTGAATTCAGTACAAAGTGTGATAGTCAACAAAAGAGCGACACTCCCATAGTGAGGGCTGGAATTAGAGGGAGGGAAGATAGCTCATTTCGCTATCAAGGCAGATTGTTCTTGTACTCAAGCACAGAATATAAAAAAATATTAAAAGACTAACCGAAATTGGACTCCTATTTCACACTGCATCCAAGAAAAATTAGTGGAGTCATCCTTCAAGGTCAGGCTTTGTCTGAATTTATGGCAGTTTAAATATCAGTTGCTATCAAGCTGCAACTGAGGTTTGCTCAGATGCACCAGTTTCGTTGCTATTTTGTCAAATAAAATGCTTGCAGGATGCACTATAGCTGCATGCATCAGTGTTTTATTACAGTGCTCAGTCTGAGCCACAACATTAAGTTACAAACAGCATCCTATCTATACTAATTCAGGTAGCACTATATTTCTACATATGATTTGGACTGGTCTTGAAACATTCAGAGAAAGACTCTCGTATCTAAATTTAACCTCTATTCAGACAGCATATAACAAAGCTCAAAACGCCTGCCTTTTTACCCACATTAAATTATTCATACATCAGATGCTAGATGGACTAAAAGTATGTTTTTTTTTCAAATCTTCTACAATATTAAGGGGTAAATCCTGAGTGGTTGAGACAGCTTTCTCACCTCCCAGCTCTTTCTTCCTAAATCTGCTTCCTTTCCTCTTGGGTGAAACCCTCAAGTTCTTAGAAATTTTTAATTCAATATAAATGAGTACAAAGACATCAATGTGCAAAGGTGTTGGGAGACTAGGACACAGAGACAAGGACTATCACCAATCTGGCAACAGGCCGGCGAGACCGAAAACCATACAAAACACCCTTTCAACAATACCAACAATCCCGACTGCATGACTTTAAACTGCCTATTGTTACAATTAGCCAAACATTACACTGCTAGTCTGCCCCATCTGCATAGATTTAACTTGCATCATTACAATCAATGTCTAATTTAATATAATGAAAACATGCCGGCCAGCCCATCAACAAAACCTCTTATTATTCCAGTTATTATTCAAGTGAGATTGAGTTAAAAGCCGGTATAATGAAAACACCCCATATGCGTGTGTGTGCGCACAATATGTATTTAAAGAGACACAAAAGATGTTCTTGTGAATATACTTTATTTATTCACAGTAACCAGCCATCCATAGCAAAGTATAATATATATAGTTTCACTGCAGAAGGAGCCGCGCTCAAACGAGAACAAGCACAGCAGGACTCCTATGGGCAGGGGGTGGGGTCAACAGAGAGGGGTCAAGGCCAGGGCCGAGCCGCGCGGTGGAATAAACCCCACCCACAGCAAACAGCTGACTTCCGCCCCATCAAGACCCATTAAAACAGCTGCGATGGACAAAGAAATGGCGACATTGTTTTTATTTTTTCTCCAACGCAAAACGCTGGCAACCAAGGCAAAAAAAACCAACTCTTTTCTAAGCCTGGATTCAGCGAGCACACATGAGATGGGCTGCACAAACACTCGAACCCGTGTTAGCAGAGGACATCCTGCGTCACCGGCACTGCTGTGCTCAGAGCTGGTGCTCGATTTACTTCACATAACCCCCACGCCCCCGAACACCTTCCCTCGACGTGACGCGCAGCGCTATGCTTGCACACGTTAAAACATTACTGAAAAACAAAATCACTGATTCATTCTGCCGGAGAAGAGGCTAAAGGCTGCAGAGCTCTCAACAATGTGCACTGTGTATTAGTTCTTCCACCTAAATCTTGGAAGAACTGAGTCCAACACAAGCAAGGTGGACAGACGGAATAACATTCATCAGCTGGAGCAAGGCTTGCCCAATTTGTCCCACCTTTTCAATGCAGCACATGGACAGAAATCACTGGAAAGGACACAAACTGTTTTATTCCACATCATATTCCATTTAAAGGGAGGGGCACCCAACAGCCTTTGGTCTCTGCCCTGCTCATAAAGAGACTACACTTGCACAGACTGTAGAGAAGTGTGACTGGAATGCTTTAATGAGGCAGGCAGGGGGTGGGGTGATGGAAATTTAACAGCCCACCGCACTCGCACAAATATGCACACCTCACACGACAGACACACATGCAGGCAAGCTCAGCTTTAGTTTCATCTTATCCCATCAACCCATAACTCCTACACAAAGTACAAAAAGTGAAGAAAGAAAAATCTAACATTTCAGGGCCAGTAAGACGGCAAAACCTGGCAGCAACCAAAGTTTAGTGTTAACAAGGAAGCCGCAGTATTTCATTTTAAAGACGATAAAAATATTATTTTGCTTGATGCTGGAATGTAGATGAGACTGCACCCTTATTGGCACAGCCAAGTGGCAGTGTGCCTTGTTTCGAGATGGTAGAGTCTTGCAGCGTGTTGGGGTATAACAATTCAAGTTAACCTGAGACACTGCACATACAGGTGCATAGTGTTTAACAGCCTCCGAACAGCTCTCCCCACTGTAAACCTGGAACAAGGCCCTGCTCCTTCTCTGAATGAGAGATGAATGAAGCTCTTTTGTATCAACGACCTGGGACTACCTACCTAGAGAGTTCATTCCCCTTCACACTGAGAGGGAAAAATCAATGGCAAACAAAAAAATAAACTTTGCTTATTTACTTATTTGGGATTTTCAATTTGTTTCTTTCAGGTGCCACATCAGTACTGAACTAGTACTCCAATCGTGTACTGAAGTAGGTGTTCGTGTAACAGTCCATTAGACAGAAGTGTCACACACCAATTAAGAGACAAAAGAGCACCTACTGAGAACTAAGAAGGTTCATATGCTTGAGAAAAAAGGGCAAACTCTGAAATCTTATAAACCACGGTGCTTCTCAGCATTAGGAGTTAAAGATATGAAACTGCAGAGCAACAGTTGTCACTAGAGGGGCATGACGATCAACACACTTGCAGGTGAAGGGCCTTCAGTCTACATGCTTTCCAGCTGCTCTCATCTGCGGAAAAGGCTTGCAGAAGAGCGCTCCATCTAAGGGACAAAATGTGGGGAACTGTTTACCCAGACAAAACATCCTTAAAATAGAGAATAAAGCCAACTATTAAGACACATGGGGCTCAGAAACATACACCAGTCAACTCCTTCACCCTTAACAGGCTAAGATATCTTCTAGCAAGGGAACAGGAAAAAGGACACCTCTTTCTGAGCTTAGAAACGCACTTAATTCCCTTTACAGATAAACATACTCCATATAATCAACATTCGGGCCTCAAGAAGAGTTAAAAGATGGCTACAAAGTAAGACAGGTAACAGGACACCAAGCAGGCCATGTTTACATTGCTTGCTGGGAGCCTCAAACAGCTGACTTTAATTGTGTCTCAGTGTCTGCAGTGACAAAGTTGATTTTTTCAATTTTGCTGTGGACTTTCACAAAAATGGAATATCGCACCTAGCCCTCAGTGCTTCAGAGCAGAGTAAAAAAGTTAAGCAGCTCAGAAACAGAGACGGGTGAATGGTGCAAAATGCAGTGCCACACCTGTCCTGTTTCTTGGGAGTTTCGAGAAATAACTTCAATGCAGCACCCCGTGGGGATCCCACAACAGCACAGACTCTTCAGTCAGGAAACCACAACGGACAGTGCACTTGCATGACCAATGTTTTTTTTTTACTGGAACAGCTCTGAATTCCAAATGGGCAAAAAAAAAAAACAAACTGATGGTTTGTGGGAATACAAAATATATATGCCATAGTCTTTAGATGGAGAAGACCACTGTGGGCATTTGAGAGTGTTTTTAACAAAACTGTTACAGTTCTTAGAAACAAGTAAATGAGAAAAGGAAGGAGGCAACTAAACGAGAAAAAAATACTTAGAAACCAAGAGAGGTGGAATTTAGAAATCTGTTACAGCGCAAAGACACCGACTGTATGCGATCGGACTGTACAGCAGAGTAAGGATGTCACCAAATAAAGGGTAAACAGTGGATCTTGGGGCTTCATTTGGAGGACTCCAGAAACCCACTCCCCCACCCATCTGCTGCGTCGTACTAAATCAGTTTTTCAGCATCGCTTCGTAGGACTGGAACACAAACTGGGAGACTTCTGGAGCTCTGCACTTGAGGGACAGCTGTGGGACAGAAAGAACATTACTGTTAGAGGGATGAACGGAGTCATGCAATACAGCAAACGCATCACAAACCCTCATGTCCTGCCTGATTCCATTACCTAGCGTCCTGAGATTTTTTTATTTTCTTATTACTCAGAAGGAAATGGAAAGCATCTGCAGTGGAATGATTTCTATCTAGCAATTTTTTTAATCAAATATTAGAGAGCCTGTTCAAAAACGGAGTCTAAAATCCTGTGTATCTGAAATAAAAAGCCTTTGTATTTCTTAAAGTACAAGAGAAGGTAGTGACCCCCCATCCAATAACCATGTTTAACGTCAATACATAACCACACTGGCAGCTCTGAATTCATTTCAATTTTAAATTGATGCTTCACTGGCAATAAACAGGATCAGAAATGCAAAAGAATATTCTTCCATAGTTCCCACTCTACAGATCTGAAACATTATTTCAATAAAGCATCACATCACAACTCCCACGTCAAAGGAGATTTTTTGTAATCAAGACCTAACCATCAAAGACACAAACGTCAGTTACGTGACTCCACACAAACAGCCCTATTACTAATCTCACTGCTCCACAAACTCCTCTCGCTTCGCTGGTTTCCACAGCCGACACTGTGCGCTGACTTGACTTCTCGTTTCATATTTAGCCGACAGTGCCAGCTCAGTGTTCTTGCGCTTGCTAACAATAATGACTTCTGTCATTTGCTCCATGTTAAAGAGACAATTTTAAGGACTTCAAAGCTGCTTACTTCAGGTCTAACCAACGCGGCTAATAATTGCTGCTCTCTCCGAGCGCAAGCTCAAACCAGCCTGTGTCACTAGTCAACACAGAGCAGGATCCCCCCAACGTGGCGCAGTACTTGCTAACGTCCATCCAAGTGGGATAAGCTGGTGCCAGGTGCCCACACACTTTGCAGTGACATCACCGAAAGGAACGCAACTCCTCCAATTAGCACTAACTCTCCTGTAAGGGTCTTTGGAGCCTGCAGTGCGAGAAAAGACTCAGATGGGAACACAGGTTGTCTGTCCATCCTCATTGACCCCAGGAGTTATTGCCGAGGGCCAAAACGTGAATCTGATAGAGATCAGCTTAAATTAGGCAAGCTCATAATCACAAACACAAAAAAAAAATGCTCAAAGATAAAGAACTAATTGAAAAACACAACAGGTAAGCAAGCAAGATCTCAGCTGGATAACTGAATTCAGAAACGGGCTATGCAGTGCAGGGTTCACTCTAGCTCACTGTCCAGTGGCCCTGCTGTTAACACAACAGCGTCTGTTCCAAGCTGAAGAACCTGCACTTATTAGGTGCAATTTCCCTCAGAGACAACAGGAGGCATGAATTTTTACACAGGCATGCCACAAACTTCCACTGTGTGGATGCTGTCTCACTAGGGACGGTCAATAGAATCAATAAACAAGATGAAGAACTAATTAGCTATTGCGAGACAGACCAAACGGCATTTGAAACATTTGTGCCTTTAGGTGCTGAGCCAAAATAAATGGAACTGAACACAAATGCAGCGGGAACTTGCTTGTTCTCAGCACATCAAAGAAAAAGAGATTCCTGAGTCACTTATTTTTCACTTCCCTCCCTAAGCACTTGGAGGAAGTGTCTGCAGTGGGGGAAAAAAAAACTTGGCTTTTTCCGCACAAATAAAATATTCAAGAATTCTAACATTCTGAAATGCACTAGTCAGCAGTAACAAGGCGGACTGCAGCAGGAGCACATGGCCCAAATATACCACCTTGATTTAGTAACGCAGGGCTTGGGGTGGGAGACGAATTACAGGCAACACTGCTCCCAATGCACCCAAGCCTGCTGAACCCCCCCCCCAACATGATTAAAACATGCTAAACCTTCTAATGAGGGCTGTACCTGCCTCAGAGCGACCACTGAGAACTGCAGCTTTCGACACGAGTGAGAAGTCATCCTGCTCCGAGGCTCATTGGACTCCTCTAATACAATGGTTAGGAGGGAAACCCCCATGGAGGATTTGGGATGTGGAGGAGGAATGTGAGGGGGATTCTCAGGAGCATTAGCTGTCCTCTAGGAGACGGAAAACAGTGCAGCTGAACTCCTGAGTGGGGGCTGAGAAGCGAGTGGGAAGCTGCAAGAAAGAGTATGCACGAGGGGGAGAGGGGAGGAGGACTACGATTTGCAATGCAGCGGTTGAGTCTCTTCTGATCAGCGACTGCGGAGCAGCGGGGTGATTAAATCACAATGCCTGAGCTGACATTTACAAGCAAAGTTAATCAAGCGCTCCAGGTGGGAGGGAAGCCACGTGATAGGCTGGCCCGTTGCCATGGGGATGGGGATGGGGGGTAGCAGCTGCTGCTGCAAACAGATTTTTTGGAAATCAGTCCGCAGCCGTGCAGCATCACGGGGGGGCTGGAGCACAGCCCAACCCACTGTTGCCACAACCCGATTCACAGGATGTCCCACAGCCAGAGCTCCAGCAGGTGCACTTCCACCCAGAACTCGAGGCTACATCACAATGCCCGAGCTGACATTTACGAGCAAAGCTAATCAAGAGCAAAGGAGTGGTGGTACATGAGAGTCCAGGGTCCAAGGATTCAAAAAGCCCAATGGACGTCTTCAGAACCCGCAGTGAAACGTACTAGAGGACACGCACGAAAGTGGGAAACTGGATCGGGACTCCCACACTCCCTTGCGATGGAAAAACTACCAGGCATCCTCCCAGACTATGGAATAGAATCAGCAGCCAGAGACGTCTCACCCCGCACACTATCGGCATCTTCAGCTCAACTTCACACGAAGTCAGGGATGGGGTGGGAAATATCGCCGAGGCTTGTGGAGTACTTTCCAAGTTCCATTCAAGCTGTTCGCACAGCTCAGGGACAAGACTTATCACGACAAAATTCCTAATGTTTCGGCAAGAAGGTATAACCTGAAGTGGTCCCGCAAGGCAAAACCATATGTACTCTGCTTGGCAATACAAATTTGTTATTGCCAAGGATGGAAAAAAATATATATTTACCCTGAAATGGTTAAGGAGTACAAAGCCAATATTCCATATTCTGTTTTATTGCAATTCTATGGTTTCTTATGTCAAGCTGATCTAGAATTCATCCTTTCTTTAAGAAAATCAATACTTGACAAAAAAGGGCAATTTAATCCTAACCTTCACAAGAGAGACAAAAACAGAATTCAAATGGTAAAGCGTTCCTTTTCTCAATTTCTGCCATTTCAGACTCGCCTCCCGAAATGAAGAACTGCATGGAGTGAGGATTAACCAGCGTCTGTTATTAGAGACTGGTGCTTTGATGCCTGCTAAACCGCATAGTTCACTGGTGCCGAGACAGTAAAATTTCTTCCACTAAACCTTTTAGCTGTTTAGTCTCAAACCTACCATGACTCGGTATTGCTACTGGCTTTGTTCAAAATGTAAACCTCCAAATTCTGCCAGGATGCAAACCCACACACTTCAAGGCAGGAGGGAAGAGGAAGAGAAAAGGGTCAAATGCAACAGAGTGAAAAAACTGTGAGAAGAGGAAGAGGGCAATTCACACCGACAGTAAAAAACACAGAAATAACATCAAGACGGCTAACCTCCAAATCCTGCAAGGTTACAGAATGAGCGTCAGTGGGGGCGTGCAATAAAACAGGAACACAGATCAACAAAACAAAATATATTAATGGGCGTGCCTGCTTGAGGCAGCGGTTTGTCGGCATCGATCGCCACACAAGAGTTGGGAGAAAGGCCTGTGTGCGCTACAGACTCCCCGGGATGGGCTTCAGAGTGCAAGCACAGAGATCTAGACCCACACAGTTACACCATGTTTCTTAAATAACGCATCGTGACGAAATCAGATCAGCTTTTCCAGTCGTCATACATTCCTCAGTAAAGACCACTGGGTCCCTATGGTAAAGATAATTCATATTGTAAGGAAATTGTACAGAAATAAAGTATTTACTACATTTGAGCGAAAAAGGGTCGGTCCTTTAGAGTACAATCAGGTCATGCAAAGCAAAAAAAAAATCTGTACAGTGTCTGAAAGCAATCTCACTGTGAATCTGTCAGCACAAATGGGAGGTCTGTGCCTTGGTAACGATAACTGTGGAAACTTAGGCCATCCCAAGCTGTTTCACACATTGGGCAATGTCTTGACTATGACTCCACGACTTCCTGGGGTCAATAAGGTCTCATCTAGCCAGGGCTGCCTAACCTGCAACAGGCTAAAGAGACTTGGCAGACTTGGTCGGCCTGCCAGAGGTGTCTGCTAACGCCCCATCATTCTGTCTGGGCAGTTTTCGCAGGTGTACGTCAAGATACAATAGACCTACAACTGCCGATTTCAAAATACGGTACTTTTCCCAACTTTCAAATTCTATTTGATTGAAAAAATAAACAAAGCAGTAGGAAGCTGACCAACACAGATAATAAATTAAAATAGGTTTAAGAAAATAAGTAAAAGCTATCTGGAAACTCTGTAATCAGTCCTGTCCTGCTGTTTTGGGACCACTACTATACTAAAGAAAACAAATGCGAAAGTGTGAATATTTATTAATACTGAAAGCGCTGCTCTAGCTGCTGTGATTCACTGGACCGATCAGTGTCTCCCCGGATGAAACAGTTGCCGGATTAATAAGTAAAACAAAAGAAAAGGTCTTCGGGGGAAAAAACGTAGCAGTATTTTTTCTAAGTGTGCTTCTAGGTGATGGACAGGAACATCAAGTTAAGGCAAATGTGCTGGGGAGAACATGTGCTGTTTTTATTACAAAGCAGCCACCTGTGCAATCAAAGCTCAAAGAATCTGAGATTCTCTATGAAACATCTCTCTATAAATCAGAAATTCCATGTCTATGGCTTGTTATTGCCAGGAACAAAGATATTTTACATTCACAGAGATGTACATGGTAAGATAAGGAACAAGAAAGATTGACAACTTGCACTGCAAAACTTAATTTAATCAAAGATCAATGTCCAGTTTCCAGAAAGAAACAGCAGTCATTAAATCTTACAAATAAATTAACCTTGACATCCACAAGCCTTACAATTCAACCTTGGAAGAAAATTATTTTGCTTTAAAATTTTAGAAAAGGAAATGCAGTCAAAACAGCATAATTTAAAGACCTAACCTGGTATTCCTCAAATCTGAACTGCAAAGCAGTTTGTACCATATAAACAACTTCACCTTAACACTAATTGCTTTTGGCTTAGATGCAAAACATACAAAAATATCTAAAATGAATCCATCCATTTATTAAATTCTCTTCTTCCAATTCTGGGATCAGTGGCATAGAGGGACCGGGGCCTGTCCCAGCAAGCAACAGGCACAAGGATGGGTACACCCTGGACAGGACGCCAGTCCATTGCCGGGCAGATAAAAGAAAATCAGTCGAGACATTCCAGACAACATTATCCCAGGAGGATCACGAAAGCCACAAGCTGTACAGGGGAGAAGAGCCTCACCGTGCAGCTGGGGTTCCCAGGCTGGATGCGCAGCTCAGCCAGTACCCAGATCCCATTGGTGAGCTTCATGGACTGATAGAGCATGTCCTGTCCTTCCACGTTCCTCTTGGCGATGGTGAAGACATTGTTACTCTGCAGCTTGTTAGTTGCTGCTTCTAAAAGGAAAGGAAAAAACAGCCCTTGGTTTTCTTTTTTAAAATTTAAACTCGGAAAACCCCAGTATTCATTTTTTTAGTATCCTACCAATCATCTACCTCATCAAACATCTCATGGTGTATGGCTGAGGAAGTGTGTGCCCTTATTCTTATAGTGCTCTCATCAGCAATTCAGCTTAGCCTTTGTAACATATACCATTATGAAATGTACGCGAGCCTATACATACTCATAAAGTACCATGAGTCAAGGACACATCCAGGACACTTGAAACCAATGTATCAGCAATCAGCATGAAGATGCTGCATGCCAGGTACCAAAACACTTCCTGTGCATGCAATAGACTACACATCAAAATCTTAAAATTAAATTAAAAAACTGGGAGGCTGAACTGGAAGAAAAACCCCAAAGCTTTATGGACTGGAGTTCCGTAACATTCAGGTCTGAATTTAAGAGACGCAGAAAAAACACCATGGACTAGTCACATCTCACCGCAACAAAAGAAACAGAACAAACAGAAGAAAACACAGCTTCTGAAATGTTTAGGCTTAATACACTGGATGATGTTTTGCTTCAATAAACACTATTCCCTTGCTCAAAGCTGTATTTGCCTTTCTCACAAGATAGACTGGGAGGACACAGAAACCTAAATGTCAGCATACATCACAAAAAGGTCTTTGAATGTGACAGAAGCAGGAAGAAATTGTATTTCAATGCAAGAAACAATGCATACATTTAGCATTTAAAAATGGCACAGTGGGGTCAAGCCAATAAACAGTGAACATGTTCATAAGAAACATAAGACCTCATTTATTTGGTTCTTTAGCTCAATATACAGAAGATTTAAAACAAATATACTATTAATTTAAACAGATTTCATTGAAATCCTACACCTTCAAAACAGAAGCTATCATTCCAGCGTGGGGCTGCACTCATCTTAAGCATCTGCTGAGAAACAGGCAGCAAACCTGCTGCCGCCAGGAACTGCGGCTGAAACCAGGTTTAATAAGAGGCAGAGGAAAGCTGATTATGCCTTGTGCACACAGCCGGCGAGCAATATTCTCCAGGACCGGTGGGGGGGCTGACAGATCGGCTTGGGCAGGGGCGGAGAGACCCCACACTCCTCTGCTGTCAGGGGAGTTCAAGAGCCAGGCAGGAGTGGCACACGCGCTGACAGTTTTATCAGCTCCTGGCAGACGCCTGCAAGGAGAGGCGTCTTGTCCTCTGGCCGGGGACAGGAAGGCTTCAATCGACAGAACTGGCTAGCCCTCTTCAGTTTCTCCTGCCTTTCAATGAAAGGAAAGTGGGCACCGTGTTGTCTAATGCTGTCACTTCCAGCGTTGTTTGCCGTGGCTGAGCTTCTCGGGGTACGCTGCCTATGACGTTCCCCAGCAATGCTTCCAAACAAGCCAGCGGGGGCTGACCGTAAATAGCACGCTTTCAAGAGGGACTCGATAGGCCTGGGTACTAAACCTGCTCCACTCCAGTTAAATAGGCCATATGTTCCCAAGGACTTTTAATTCTTAATGGAATCATTATATTGGTTCCTTTCATTCACATCGGAGAATTCTCCCCCAAGAGCTTTGCAGAACATTAAATAAATTAAACTAAATTAGCATGTGGGGAAAAAAAAACCTACTGACCGATGCCAGCCAGGAAGGGGCATTTACAACAAGCACTGAAACTGTATCCAAGCTGAATGAAAATGAAACAAAATTCTAATAGTTTAAAAGTGACTTTTCCTAGGAAGGTGTTTCCAGGGTCCAACAGCAAAAGCTACCCAACTGCGCTCAGTCCTCTGGGGTTTCAGCAGCAGATTAAATTTTGAATGCTGGATATGAATGTTTCAGTTTTTTGCCTGGGCTACAGGACAGAGAAGGAATGAACTGACTTTTTTCTGTTTCATTTTTAATTGAGTATTTCACTGTCTTGTCTCCAGGGAGAGAGATCTTGTGCTGCCCAACAGACCTGCTCAAAAAGAAAGCTCATAGTGTGAGCTCTAATTAGAATGATTCACACAGTGTGTAAGACGACCAAGAATTCAGATATTCACCTTCCTTCCACAGATCAGGCCTTTACTCTTCGACAGTCTCTTACCCAGAAGAGATGGGCTCTGTCCTTTTACTCTGAAGCACTGGAGTTACTGTGCTCGGGAGATTTCTAGCTAATTGGCCACACCTCTGTGAGGCTCTGCAGTCTTAGAGTGTGGATGTGCCTTACCGGAGTTAAGATGGCAGTCCTTGACTTGGAATTGTGCTTCATTGTCATTGGGAATGTCTTTCCACGTGGCCAGGAAGACCTGCCGATCTGCAGAGAACAGGAAACCAAAGTGAGCTCTTTAGCAGGAGATTATAGCCAGCAGCCATATCACCCTGCAACTCACAACTGGCAACCCACTGAAGCAGCTGTGAGCCTGGTCAGTACCTGGATGAGAGACCTCCTGGGGAAAAACTAAGGTTTCTGCTGGAAGAGGTGTTAGTGGGGCCAGCAGGGGGCGCTCACCCTGTGGTCCACGTGGGTCCTAATGCCCCAGTATAGTGATGGGGACACTATACTGTAAACAGGTGCCGTCCTTCGGATGAGACGTAAAACCGAGGTCCTCACTCTCTGTGGTCATTAAAAATCCCAGGGCGTTTCTCGAAAAGAGTAGGGGTGTAACCCCGGCGTCCTGGCCAAATTTCCCATTGGCCCTAACCAATCATGGCCTCCTAATCATCCCCATCTATGAATTGGCTTCATTACTCTGCTCTCCTCCCCACTGAGAGCTGATGTGTGGTGAGCGTTCTGGCGCACTATGGCTGCCGTCGCATCATCCAGGTGGGGCTGCACACTGGTGGGGGTGGAGGGGAGACCCCATTACCTGTAAAGCGCTTTGAGTGGAGTGTCCAGAAAAGCGCTATATAAGTGTAAGCAATTATTATTATTATTATGAACACATACCAAAGGGGTTTTCTCACCATGGCAAGCTGCACAACAGAATCTTATTAAAAATATCATATGCCAGCTAGGGTGATGAATAAATGTTCAAAGCACAAGCAGAAAAACAGCAGCACCTCCTCTTGGCAATAGGACTTCCTATTTTTCACAGTGGGCTTGACACCAGATCTGTAGCTGCATTGACACGAGGTACTTGAACGGGATCTTGACATTACAGAGAATCTCCCCGTGGGCTCATCTTCGACAGACAGACATGCTGGTAGCAATGGGACGCTCACCCATCTTGCCATCCTCAGCAAACAGGATGTTGATGGGGTAGAGGCAGCTGAAGTAGAAGACGTCAATGTTGTTCTTCACAGCGACCTGTCAGGAACACACGAGAAGAAAGGAGGCCTTACAAACAGGTGGGCCCTGTGAGCTGTGCATTCAGAGGGCACAGCGAGGCACATCTCAGCCACACTGGCTTTAGCACTTGTCTCCTCAGTTATCTTAGGCTTTGGCACCCGGCAAATTGCAAAGACCTGCCGCGGTGCGCACGAGTCACACGGAGTGGGCAAGTGTGACACGATGCGTTGAGGGAACACATTTATCAGGCCAAATCACAAAATGCCAAAGGCGATCAAAAATGTTTGCAAGCCCTAGATCGACTTCTGAACCAAGGCTGAGTTTTTCTGATAGGTTAAGAAGCTGGTGGGGGGTGCAGTTCAGAGCACAGAATTGGAGTGCAGAAGAACATGAAGTAAAATCTTACTTAGCACTCCATTTTATCAACAAAGACCAGATTTTAGGCTGATCAAGCAAAATAGATGGATCTACTGCTCTCTGCAAGGGAGAGAATGAAAGTTCCCTTTGTTCACACCACAAGAAGACAAGGGCTAAGGGTGAGGATCTTTCTCTTAAAATTGGTGCTCTGCAACCTGGTGCCTATGAAACCTATGAAAGATAAACCTCTCGCCTAAAAATTGTACCTGGCAATTGTTTCGGCTTACTGGAGTACAGATTTAGAATCAAAACGGAGGCAACAACAGCGAATCGATAAGATAATGGATGCCGAAACAAGTAAAACATGAAATAAGGCTAAAAGCGATGCAAATTATCCATTCAACCATCTTGGCTGCATTTCAAGGCAGCATTATTCTCTTTGTATACCTAGTTTGTCAGGAGTGACCTTCAATTGCGGTTTGCCGTAGAAATCCGCAGACCAGACTCCAGAGATGGCTTGATTAGACTGCCGTCACATGCCTTTTCTATGCATTTATCTTTTATACTACAGGCACCCAGCCTTTTACGCTCGTCCTGATGCTCATTCACAGCTCATGCAAAATGTATATTATAATAACCTGTAAATTTTACAATTATTTCAAAACCTTGCGGCAATTAAGCCCCAGAATTTGAACTTGCTTGCAGAAGCCCAGCACCATACATGCTTTGGCCTTGTAGTGGATTAACCATCTGCTTTAAAATCTGTTAAGACTACACTAATTAATGCAAGAAAACCACAAAGAAGGGAATTTTATTCAAGAATCAGAAAACACTCTTAAAAGGACATTGAGAAATCTTTCTTAAGTGTCCTCATGCCTTCTGCTTGGGAAACCTTTTTCTGCAACAGCCCTGCACCACACGCTATGCAAAACTCACATTTTAACTTAAAAAGAGACCACAGAGACAAAAAACATTATGTTTTCGTAGAAAGGCAGCAGCACAGAGCTATTCATTTTAAATGTTATTGCCATGGAGGGAGATTAAGACTGCGATGTTCCAGATTTTCCTGGTTGCATGGAAAACCCTGCACTGTTCTAAAGGCAGGAGAGTTTCACGGTTTTCATGGTGCTCAGAGATTCAAAGCCACAGGTAAAAGGAGGATATGGCAAGGAGCTTAAAAAGAGGATGGCATCGCCACCCTCCAGCGCCGAGCCCCAGCTGCCCGTCACCATCAGAAGCATCTTTCTTTTCTAGGGAACCTGTATATTACCACACGCTTCTGTCTTTGACACTTTAGCCAGAGGGACTTATTACCCATCTTATTGCCACAGAAGCTAATCCATCATCCACAGGACAACACCATGTCACATCCTCTGACAGTGCCTTATTGCCTTCGCGGTTCAGTTACAGCGGAGAAAGAAAGGTAATTGCATTATACACTTCCAACTCATTGTGCCGCCGTCTCCTTTCATGCATATCAGAACCCAAGGCTCGACTCCAACAGTAACTGCAAAGAGCCCAGTATCTGTAAACACCACCTCCCCCTCACTCAAATTCCATGTTATCAGGCCACCAGTTTGTTTTCCCAAACCCATCCTCACTATAATTAACTTGGCAATTGCCGTTCAGGCCACTTCTCCAACCTGCTGCTTGCACTAACTTCAGTGGGCTGCATGTGCACACAACTGACAAGGACAAAAAAAAAAACCTGAGAAGGCCATTAGGAAAATCCTGCGCTTTTAGCGCCTCTTTCAAAAGCAGAATGCTTCCTCTGAAGGAGTTAGGAATTGGGAGTTATTGCGCACATGCCTTCTCCGTTTCAAATGGATTTTTAAAAAATGGGCTAATAACCAAAGAGCTAAAAGGATTAAAAGCCATGAAGGATCTATTGTGGCTGTGCTTAACAGACAGCACTGACTTCAAAGTCCTTATTTCTTTGGGATGGCAGAGAAAAAAAAAAGAGCAAATAAAAAAAAAACATTTGCTACAGAGCTGCAAAATCCAAAAGACTATTTGCACTATAAAAAGGCACTCCAAGGATTTCTGATTGATCTTGAAGCGATCAGCTGATGTTAATCCGTAAATCTAACACCCCTGTTATACAAGCTTACCTGCAGGTTGTTCAGGGGGTCCATCTTCATGACCGGCCCCACCGTGCTGAGAGGAAGGGTCACCTCGATGGTCTGGTTGGGGCTCAGAGGGGTGTGCACCTGGAGGGCAGCTGCAGGAGACAGCCCAAAGCTTACAAGGGGAAACACAAAAACATAAAATCATTAATATGGCTTCTGACCACCTAAATCCAAGGTCAAACTTCCTTGCCAAATGTCAGTATGCTGATGACCTTGAAAAAATAAACCACAGGTTATGGTTTTATCAATATATAATTTACAATGGTTTTATCAACATATAACTCATATAAATTTGTACAGGCAGAGCTCTGTCTTGCAAAACCAGGATTCGTCCGATTTGTATTATGATGTTGGGAACATATCTCCATAGCAGCTGTTTTAATAACCCTGGTTAAAGCCCTAGCCTCTGGAACCCATTAACAGCACTAATCGAGATGCCATTTAAAACCACACAAACTAGATAAACAACTGCAGCAAAGGCACAAAAAAGCTAATTTAATTGGCGATATACAGCTGTTACACTGGGCAATGTTTTAATGCAAAGTTAGTAAAGAGTAGACAAAGATCATTCTGCTTCCACGAGCTCATGTTTCCCTCACATACTGCCTTATTTCTAACCGCTGAAGCTTTCAATTGTAACCGACAAACACCCCTGATGACAGATTTTTGAGGTGTAGTTTTTACACGGATAAAAATGTGGGCAACGTATTTTATCAGTTTAACACAGTGGCATATTCTTTAAGAAAGCAGCTAACTAAGCAACAGAAGAGTGTGTATTGTTTTAACTGCTCCTTCCCAACAGTCAAGAGGATTAATCAAACTATCATTTTCAGATGCATTACTCATATTTACTTAACAGCACTGCTTAATTTGTAAAGACAGGCTCTGGGGCTCAAGCAAATATTTGAATTTTAAACTTCTGACTTTGAAAATGCCAAAATTAGCACAGATTTGAGCTGAATTGCAATAACAGAGCTCAGACAACCCCTAGTAAGTTGTCAAAAGGTTTATATATTGTCCAAAAACAAGTGAAATGTCTGATACAAATTTGCATCTTCTGTATTTCCACATTCTATATGAATTCTCACTCAAATGTATGGATTAAAAACAAGATCTTGATTCCAAGTTAAGATTACCCTTAACTATTAAGCACCAACAAACTAGAAAACAACATTAAAATGTGTGAAGAAGTGATCAAAGAAAACTTTTCCAAAAACTTGCTAACCCTGAAATAAGATACAGCAAACTGAAAGAAGTGCTACAATAATGCCACATCATTTCAGTCCAAGCGAGACTTAAACAAAACACTCAAGGGCATCTTCCCTAAAGATGCAGTTGAAAATGTGGGCCTTTCAATGTGTTGATGCATTATAGCGCTATTTGCTAGGTCTCTTCAGCCAACTTCTTAGAGGGAAAGGCATTTGCATCAAATGCAATCAGACAGAAGAAGTGTCATCAGCAGAGACAGCCCTATGAGTAGGACAATAACTTATTGGGTTGTGCCTGGAAAAGTATTTCGGCTACTTATTATTTTTCAAATTAAGCAATGTAAAACTGATCAGCTTGCACGCTGCCACTTAATGAAGACGAACTGCTTTGCTGCAATAGCTGGGGATCAATAATGCGTGACAGTTTCTTTCAAACTACAGCAGGGTGATTGCACAGGATTTTCAAATAAGATTATCTCCATGTTCTTGTTCAGAGTACACTTAGTCTTCTGGTGTGACAACAATGGGAGGGCTTGTCAACAGTTACATATAAATAGCCGTGTGCGTGTATTATCTGCATCTGCATTATGTAGATAACTAAAAAAAAAACATCTTATAATTTTGGGGAAACTAAATTCCGTTCAACTACAATATAAATCATTTGGCAAATTAATGCAGCTTATACCGTGTCCATCAAAAATCCTCTAGTACTTATACTGTATGTAAACACGCTTTCAAAGGACTTTCGGATGTGCGTTCCTAGAGATTAATTTGTTTCTACAGTTTTATTTACTTATTTTAATGAGTTACTCATGAAAGGGCTTCCTCAAGACTCAGTGCGATGAACCGACACATATAGAATTCAATAGTTTACACCTCTGGGACTGAAAGCATTGTGCAGCTCTGGATAGTTTGCTTTCCATGCTGCGCCCCACCGAGCTCGGGTCACCCTGGCTGTCTTACAGGACAATTGCAACGAGACCGCACAACAGAATAAGAAACAAAACAGGCTGACCAAGAGCTCCAACAGAGGAGACGCTAGTGTAAAATGCAGGCTGATGGGGCCACAGGCAACCAGAGAAAACCCTCAGCTTGCCAAGTACTGAGCTTATAAGGTTGCCTTGGCCTCCATGAGCACACATGGCCCAACAGGGCAGAGTTCAGAGACTGCGGTTCCCCTTTCTACAGCTAACAAGAGACTATTGAGCCGAGAGCCGGGAACCAGCAACTGAATCGGAGACAGTAAAAATAAAGCTGCAATAATGATTTTAAAAAAAAAGGAACATAAAAAAAACCCACGAGACGCGGACCTGCACAAAACCACTCTCCCCCGAGTCCCTACAATACAACCCAAAGCCCGCCACTCACCTGTTCCTGTTGAACTGGATGGCAAAGTCTGTCATGACCTGCATTGCTTTGTTGGTGAGGGACAGTTCCATCTGAATGGTGCCCATCCGCCGGGCAAACGTGCCAGAGATCTCCAGTCCTTTGGCTTTCATAGCAGGTAGCCACACCTGGAAAAGAATCACAGGGCCAATGTGAGAGGCCATTCATACATACCGCACAGTCAGCAGCGAACACCATGTACATTATAATTTTATTAGTTCCAAACAATCCTTTAAATTTATAGCCACCACTTCTATCACCCTGCAACTCAGAAACTGGCAGCCCACTGAAGCTCAGCAGGTGTGAGCCTGGTCAGTACCTGGATGGGAGACCTCCTGGGAAAGCTAAGGTTGATTCTGGAAGAGGTGTTAGTGGGAGCAGTAAGGGGTGCTCACCCTGCTGTCTGTGTGGGTCCCAATGTCCCAGTATAGTGGTGAGGACACTATCTTGTAAAAAAAGGCGACGTTTCTCAGAAGAAACGCACAACTGAGGTCCTGACGCTCCGTCTCATCAGAGTAGGGGTGTTACTCCGCTGTCCTGGCCAAGTTTTCCCCTGGCCTTTACCAATCATGATCTCTGAATAATCCCCATCTTTCAATTGGCTTCATCACTCTGTTCTCCTACTCACTGATTGCTGATGGTGCGAATACTGGCGTACTTAGTCTGCTGTCAAATCATTCCGGTGGGCCCAGAAACATGCCCAAGAGGATGATGTATTATTGCTCGATTACAGTTTAAATATATAGTGTTCATGAAACGGTTATCAAGTATGTTGCTGGCAAAACGGTCTGCACCTTGCGACAGAATTCTACTGGACTTTTATTATCACATATAATAAAACATAATAGCATGGTTAACCGGGGTATTTAATTTTGATTGTGTTAAGGATGAAAATCCTCCAGACTCCATCTGATTCACAACAGAATTGCAGTTTCCACTTGAGATTACAGGATGTCAAGACTTCACGGTCCTGCTGCATAACAGATGCTAACACAGTCGACTGACGGAGAGCGGACAGCTCACTTACGGAGGACGGTGCCCTAAAACCAGCCATCAAAGATGGACTCCCACCCTTCTCGGGCAGAAATAATAACATCCCAGAACATGTAAAGCACGAAAACAAATAAAACAACAAATGAAACACCCAAAGCAGAAAACAGAATCCTTCAACACATGGCGGCGTCCAGATCACTTCAAGTATTTTACCTGGTAGTTATTGTTTAACTGTCATAGCCAAAAGATAAAAATTAAAACTAACAATTTATTGCTTTAAAAAATCTTAACCAATTGCCTTAAGCCCAGAGCTTTAATCTGCTCTGAAGCCGTTATTTTGTTTGTTGTTAATTGGGGTTCGCTAATCTGTTCAGAGCATAATGATGCTTCTTTCTTCATGGTGGAAAGCAGGTTTTTAATTCTTTTGGTGAAATCTCTGCTGTATGAAATGTTAGGTCTGTCAGGATCTCCTCTGCTGACAAAATCACATTAAAGACCCACTGCTGGCAGGGAGTGGAGTGAACATCTAACGAGGGAAAACTAATGCAGAACCCTTATTCCTGCACATAATCAGCTGCCTACGACTCAGTACAGCCAGAAGATATAATACCGCTACACATCACCCTCTGCAAACCTCTGAAGAACCTCAGTAGGAGCGGCTCAAAATATGAAAAGAAGAAAAATACAAAGGATTAACAGTATCGGCAAAGCGACAACATGACTAACATTCTGCAATATCTGGTCACATTGCCTCAGTCATCTGTATGGAAATAAAAATAACGAGAAACATTCAAAAAAAAATTCAAGTAGAAGGTGTAACAGTACATCGCTGCAACCCCTACACAATCCATTATCTGGTTTGTGTCAGTTTCAAACAGCTCAGAAGAAACTATATACTCATACGAACTATACTGAACCTCAAAATGAGACGGGAATAATCAAATATATATATATATTAATCTATCTACCGGTAGTTTGATATCACTGATGTTTGATACACATTTCCAGTGGTAAATGTGGCACAGAACAGGACACCGTCCCCAAAGGAAAAAGTTCCAGGGGTTGAAGTGCACTCAGAATCAGAATCAGAATCTACATGTTGAAAAGGAGCAATTAAAAAGGTGCAGAGAATTTAGCTTATGTAAGAAACAGAATGGAAAACGCAGTACTTGGTCCACATTTGAAATATAGCATTCCCATTCTCTTCTGGGACCCACAGCACGAACAAGTACAGAGGTCTTGGAAAAGGGCAAGCCAGGACTGCTCACTAGGGCTTCATCCACGACTGGAGGTCACGAGTTAATGAGGACAGACTGAAAGAACTGATTATTTATCCTGAGCTACAACAGAGGACAGCTGAGAGGAGACTTAATCATGGACTAAAAAAAGGACAGGTACTAATGAAGTTGACTGTTGGTTATTTTAATCCTGGTCCATGCAGCAAAATTCAAGGGCATTCCTGAATTTAATGCATGTAATTCTGATGTATGGATACAAGAAACGAGATTTTAAATTAGATCATAAAACTCAGAGCAGACATTTTGCAAATCTAATAATTTAGGTGAACTAAAAACCACACGTATGCCAAGTTAGGATTACCTGGATTGCAGAAAGAAAGCAAAGGGATAAGGGACCTGGCCTTGAACTAAACTGCTCACATTCGTGGTCAAATCCAGTCGGACTATCAACTCAATTTAATGTAGATACTCACAGACTTGGGGATGACGTATGCGCCAGCTGGTATTCCCACTCCCCCTCCAAGGTCAAAGAGGTCACCGAGGCCCCCTGCAACAGGCGCATTCAAAGAGGAGGGCATGACAGTAGGTACGCTGAACCCGGTGCCCATCTGTGGACAAAAGAGCGAACCTGCAGTTATGACAAGTATCCTGCTTGATGTACGTTAGACCTTTTGAGAGAATGAACTTACAGAGCCAAGCTGGAAACAGGGAGCAGCCTACACCAGCTGTAGGCAGCCAGAGCTTTGCATGGTTGCTTAATTGACACTTAAGGACCAGCTAGGACCAGATCGGAAAGGAAGACCAAGACCAGACAATGCATCATGGGACCAAGCACTAACACAGCGGTATACAGCAGCTTGGCCTTCCGCATCACACAGTGTCTGGGGGGTGATGTTTATATCAAGGGCACACAGGTGCCAATGTTGCTTCACTCAATTCTGATATGGCAGTGCTTTGCAGCATTGTGAACTCCTGTTACCAGCAAGAGCGAGCTATATCACAGATGCCCCCTGATTCAATGCCGATTCAAGCTGCAGGGCCAAGAAGAATGGAGAAAGATAAAAGAGGCAGAGAAAGGGTTACTACAACAGAGCCCTTTTCTACACAGTAAGAAAAAAAGCACATGGAACATTTTGATCCTTAGGCATCAACTGGCTTGCAGATGACAGGAAACTGCAGCACCCCAGACCAGTGATATTAATATGCTGAAGTTGTAAGCTGTCTGCTTGCAGGTGCAGCTGAGTCACTGAAAGTCTGCACCACAGCCCTTCTTTATCCATGACAATCCCCTCCATCGCCCTGTCCTCCAGTACAGGAGGAACCCCTCCCAACAAATCAGATGGGCTTTTAGAATGATTTTAATCATTTTATCTCAAAACAAACTGTGATCTGTAACCAGAGTGCGCCATGTCCTGCAGTGAAAGAACACTGATGGAAATTAGAAACTGGAAAGCTACGTCTTGGTCCTTTTAAGTTGGCACACACTGTTACAGGCTCTCCACATTTACAGCTCTCTTTGCTCGTAGCCGAGTTCTTCTGAGAAATAACCAACCGTGGGCCCGGCCATCTCCGCTGTGAAATAAACCAGCCGTCCTATTCGTGTGTTCACACATCACCGAGCTCGGAAGACTGAAACTGTGCAGCAGGCGCAGCAGCAGGGCGAATTTTCCCGACACCCCTTTCATTCACACGCTTATTCTGTTTGATCTCCGTCTGCAGCTTCCAGCACTTTAACTTATTAACTTTCTTCACGCCGGTCCAAAGGAAATGAATAGAAGCGCCGAAATTGAACCTACACCCCAGTTCCAGAAACCAAGAGCACCCTTGCAACTGCTAATATAAAAATATGCTTAAACATCCCCACTGATTTCACCCCACAGCGGTTCATCACTGCTCACCACATCTTCCAAGAGTTGAGCAAATGTGTTTCATCACGCTAGACTCGATATTGATCAACTAAAGGGCAAGAGACTGAAGGCAAAATTGGATTTTAAACACAGCAATGGGAGATTTAGATTTTAAATCCGTCAGATAACCGATACTCCCACAGAGACCCATCTTAAATGAGTAAACTCACGAGAACACTGTTAACATGGCTTATCTTTATTACAATGTTAAATTCTCCATCTGCGTGAATTGCTTCAAATTCTGGGGGGCTACTCAGCATTGCCCATCCTGTTAATACACCAGCCAGGAAACAAAGTGCTGATCAAGCCCAAACCTACTTCTTACGAAACAGAAAAACAGCAGGCTCGAACGTAGATTTAAATAGTAATGAATGCAATCCTATCTGTAAAATAGCCCTAACAAAATGCACTGCAGATCTCTAAACATGGAATTGAAGCCATAAGCAGATCTAAACTAGAGATTCAAATGTTTACTCACTGCTGGACTTCCACCAAGGTCCCCACCAAGCTGTAGGAAACAAAAATAATCTGTTTAGGAAAAGAAAAAAACCTTTTGAAACAATACATTTATGTATAGCTTTTTAGGGTGTTTCTTTTACAAAAGATGACCAGTTAATACAGAAAAGGCAGCTATGTCTTGCAGCGGCCTAAATTGTAAAAAAAAAAACAGTAAACAGCAGCAGTTATGACAGAGGAAACCAGGTCGGCAGGCATACATGCTGAGAAGCCATGCCAACCAATGCTCATGCAACAGGAGGAAAAGTCCAGCAAGTCAAAGAAGAGAGCAGCAGCCATTTAGTCTGGCGTTTGGAGGGGATGTGGGATTCATGCAGAACAGCTGGATGTGTCAAATGTGCAGAAGAACAACACTACAAGAGTGGAGCGCAGGTCCTGCTCGTTCCTGTTCATCTTCAGCCCCATCTGCAGGAAGGGGTGATGTGAAAACCATCGCTTTGAAATTCCCATCACCACTGGTATGTTTTAGTCCCATATGGACGGTCTCTTTTCCCCATCGAAGGTGAGGAAATTTGGGATTGTTCTGCAGGGCATCAGGACCTTTCAGTACTATGGCCTAATTGAAGTGAGCCCTAAACAAATCAATGTCTGCCATGTCTGAAAGTGAAGACTTTATGTATTTTTTGCCCGAAAGCCACAGGTGAGAAAAGGGTAACACAAGGCACAGAACTTTAATCATGGCTGCAGACAGAAATGTGTAGAGTCTTGCCAATGGGTAGGTTTTCCTTCAGAGAAGAGTGTAATTAAAAAGTTCTCTCAGTCTCAACTCGTGAAGTGCCAGAATCCTCACTGGAACTAGGTTTTGCAAGCATTTTAACATTAATGTAAGGTTTTTTGTATTATTAGTTTAAATTTTGTTTCACGTCATGTGAATAAGGAAGACTTTCCTATTGGTGCTGGGGCATATGAACAATGGAGAACATAAGGTTTTGTCAAACCGACGCCTTAATGTCCCCCTGTATTCACGTGAGAAAAAAAGTGCTAGAATATCACACTGAAGACAAATGACAACAAAAGAAGAAGTAGCCGAGTATCCTAGAAATGGTTTTCAACAGGATATGAGACGAGCAACAAATGTAAGAACAGGAAAAGGCAGATTTGATATGCTCTTTTGAGTTAATCTGACCCACATCTGCAGGGAATTTCATTTGCAGACTTAGCGCATGAAGGTTTTCAGATAACAGTGATTACAACCTAAGGAACAGAAATGAGGAACAGAGATAAATAATGAATCAGATCGTGAAATCTGAATGGATGTTAATGACAGTGCGCAGAGAAGATGTGCTTTCAACCTATGTGACTGACTCCATTTTAGATCACCCCCTGCCCCCTTCTCAATTACCGCTTCTGTGTCATCCCCCATCTGTAGAGTTGAAGACAGAGACGGAAAAAAAACCGGAGCATGAAAAAGAACAAAAACCAGGAGTTAGAGGCATAACAGGCTAGGAAAGCACACCACACCGTTGCAGTCAGCCAAGCCCCTGCAGGCATCCCCAACACGCACATTACAGCAGTTCTGAGACTTCCACAGGCAAAGAGGAAGGAAAATCCCACCAGGATATTCCCGTGCAGGCCGCATGAGGCTTCCTTGTGAAGGACTTGCAGAGGACAGGCAGTACTGGTGAGAAACCTGACTCACTTTATTCAGTGGGACTAAACCTCTGAACTCTTTCAACCCAAGCAGTACGCGCACATCTTTACAAGTCCCCTCCCTCGGTCCAATGACAAACTATCTCAGCAAGAGCTGCTGGGAATAGAGGCCAATAAGTAAAAGCTGTGTGACTCACTTCTATTCCTCTTGGATTAAAAAAATATAAAAAAAACATGCTTCTGCTTCTCCTTTAACAATGCACAGCTTTCACACTGTAAACGGCCAAGATAGAGACATTTAAATATAAACTAAAAAAATAGAAATTCTCATCACCATCAAAAAACTTTTAATCTTTCAATAAGACGGCTTCATGCTAGTCACGCGTTGTGAAATAATGCTCTACATTATAATAGTAGTTTCAATAAACTTGTGCTTAACCGTGCTTAAGCAACCAGTTACCAAAAGGTCAGAAATAAAACCTGTGTGCTTGTTCTGAGTATTTGGGCCAAGGCACCACACTGACATGTCCTAAGGCAGTGGTCTCCACATTTGGTCCAGGACAGCCTCAATTCCTCAAGTTTTACAGACACCTTTAAATCAGTGGTTAAAAGCACTGTTAATTCTGGCTACATGAGCAAAAATTTGGTTCAATTAAGTAATTGAGCTCAATGGGAATGTTAACCACAAGATATCTAGGAACAGTGGGAGATACTTCCCTAGTTCATATACCTTACACCACTGCAAAACACAGCAGAAAGAAGTACAAAAAAAATCATTTCAAGACCCCAAAACTTCATTCCAAGTGAACACGAGTGCAGGATGTTACCAGGCTGTCCAGCCCTCCACCCAGTAGGTCCATGGCACCCATCTGCATGGAGGAAGTGGGGGCAGGGGTCCCTCCTGTGGTGGGGGGACCAAGGTCCAGGTTGAGCAGGTCTCCCAGCAGGTCACCCTGGGAGGGGATGACAGAAGAGGGCTGCTCCACGGGCTGCCCCGCTACCTGGGCTGCTTCTGGGCTCTCGGTGCTCTCGTTCCTGCAAAGGGCAGAGACGGGGGAGGTCAGGGCAGGTCGGGAGAGAAAGTCACTATAACATAATGAAACAGCTGTTGCACAAGGTTTACTTCCAGGTCAGGTCCGAGTGCACTTCCTGCACATAGCAAGCCAGTATGCACAGGGATTTCTAGTCCTTTATTCCCCCCCGATACAAGAAAAGCAGCTTGATAAGATTTGAGACTGATCAGCTATAATAAACTGCCTGCCTACTTAAAACCCTCAGATTCAACCATTAACCCCTCTTCTCCTTTCTTGACCTGGTTATCACACGAGAGAGACCTACAGGAAGAGCGAGGACTGGCCTTTGGTACAGCCAACGGCTGGTTCACAACGTGGGTCAAATGAACCGTGACCTGACCTCTTTAACTCGGGCCCTGTGTGAAAGTGACAGGTCTTCTGGCCTTTCCCGTCTCTTAACTCCACCTTTTTTCCCCCGCCATGCACTTTGCTAAATGTGCTAAAATCCACAAGCGGGACACGGCAGAGGGTTTGTTGCCAAACCACCTCGGTCTTAAGCAGCTGATGACTTCCGAGGCGCTGCTGGACTCCGCCCCTGGAGCGGGCGCCAGGCGCCAGAGCGAAGGGCGAACGAGCGGGCACTCACGATCCCGTCCGGGGTGGCAGGCGCTTGTGCTGCACCCCGCGGCTGCCCTCCACAAAGGCGCTGGGGGGCTTGTGGTAGACGGAAGCCAGGGTGCCGATGTGGCAGATGAGCTCGTCCAGCAGGGTGGGCTCGATCAGGTCCGTCTCCTCCGAGATCAGGGGCTTCTCGGCCAAGACGACCTCCTTGGCGGCCACGGGGTCTGTGGAGAGAAGGCGCCAGTAGATGTAGCCGCGGTCTCTCAGGTCCGGGTTGTCGGAGTCCTGCCCAGAGTGGGGGAGAGAGGGCATCAGGAACAAACGGAGCAGTAAGACGGGCCGGAGCTCGGGGAGGAGGTGGGAAGAGGGGGCAGAAACCTCACGGCCGAGAGGGGTTTATACCGTACAGAGTGCCTTGTGAAAGTGGTCAGACCCTCACACACTTTTCACCTGGCGTTGCTTTAAAGCTTTAAATGACACTTTGAATTAGAGATTCATTTATACAATATACACAACCCACCACACACATTCAGAGCATAAAACACAGTAAATGTGAAAGAAAAATGTAAACGTCGTGATTGCATAAGCATTCACACTTGTTGATATAGACAACTCTAAATTAATGATCCATAAACGCACTTTAATGAGGAACACATCTTGAGAGATTGGCTCCTGTCTGTGTACAGCGATGGTGGTTCACGTGATTTCAGAATACGTCTGTTTCTACAAGGTACTTTAGTCAGTGAATGTGAAAACATTCAACTGTGAAGACCATGGAGCCTTCAAAACAAATCAGGGATCAAGTAGAATAATGTGCAGAACAGTCGCTTTGAGCATGCAGAAGTCAATCGTTGAGAAGCAGGTATAATCGCACAACTCAGACACTGCCTAGACCAATAGACTATGACTCCTTACTGCACAGTGGTGCAATGAGGAAACTGGTTAGCGATGCCACTGCAAGGCCAACAACAACTTTGGCATTTTCTCAAACCCCAACCACTAAACCTTCAGTGAGTCAAAGCTGACCTATGTGACAAAAAGGAAGTCATTACTGAGATAAAATATAAATATCAAGTATAGAGACTGCAACAAAGCATTTCAGGTATAGTGCAAACATACAGCTACATTTATTTTGTGGTCAGATGAGACAAACTGGGAACATTTTGTTCAAAATGCAATGTTATATCAAGTGCAAACACACCCCATCACTAAGCTGACGACATCCCTACTGTCATTCATTATGATGGAAGCATTACGTAATGGGGACGCCTCTCAGCAGCAGGACGCAATGTTTTGATAAGCAGGGACTGAGAAGAAGCTTGTCAAGACTACGTGGAAAATGTATGGAGCAAAGTACAGGTAAAGGAAAACCTGCTTCAGTCTACATAAAGACCTAAAACGGAGATGAAAAATCACCTTTTAGCAGGTTAAATAACCTAGAGCACAAGCCAAGGCTACGCTGGAGTGGTTGAGGACTAACGAAGGGAACATTGCGCGGGAGGCGAAGTCAAAGTCTTGCCTTCAATCCTATTGAGAACTTGGAAGACTTCTGTCTATAAGTGATCTCCAAGCAGTACAAATTTGTAAAGAATAGGCAAAAACTGCACCACCTTGGTGTGCCAGGTTCGTAGAGACCCAAAATGTTTTCCAGCTGTAACTGCTGCAAAGCCAAAGGGGATTATTATACAGATATTGGGTTCACAGGTCCCAGTTCTTATTCAATCAACATTCTTTTTTGTGTTTGCCAACATTATACCAGCTTACCATACCTTGAGAAGTTTTCATGTTCACGTGAGCATTCACGTGTTGAATAAAATATTACATTTAAAAAAGCGTATGCATCATTTTCATGAGACGCCATAGTATACGGCCTGAATTGTTTTGTATTGCACTATTTCTAAGAACTGTGCTTGTACTTGGGAAGAAAGAAATGACTTCAACAGCTTAAAATGCAATATGTATCCATGCTGCTAGATCTTATTGTGTTAATGTTTTGCCTAATACATGGCAGTAAGATGTTTACAACGGTTTAGCATTCAGCTGTCTCCACAGTATACAGCACCTCATAATTATTCTGGCCACATCCGATAAACGATCTACTCAGTCACAGGGCGCGATTCTCCCCAGTCGGTTTAAGGGATGCATGTGCAAACAGACAAAGGAGAAATTGCTTTATGTGTCCTGAGCTATGGCAGATATACACTGTAGCATTCGTCCCTACTGCACTGACTGACATATGGTCACTCGTAGCTGCGAGAGCCACACTAGTTCGAAAGAACCTGTACATCAGGATGTGTGAAGATGACGAAAGCAAATAAACAGGTTGGGGTAAAAGTGCATGAAGTACTTCAAACAGAAATGAGAGACAGTGCTCAGGCTGCAGGTGATAACCTGCAGTAAGGTAAGCTAGGAAGAGAAGACGTCCCGATTTCAATCCTGAGCCGGCAGTGCTGGTTTCTAAAGACACTCGCCCTGCCCCCTGAATCCATGACTACAGGGCAACTCGAGGATATCCTACCCCACCTCCCTCCAGCTCATCAGAACACAAAGCACGTGCGTCTCAAAGTCACCCCTGCAATCGCACAAACTGAATTAAAAGGTCAGTCAGGCAGGCTCCAAAGTAAGATGTCTGAAGCAGTGCAGGAGACACAAGCCTTCATGAAACATTCATGCCCATCAACACCGAAAGGGTTACTTCGTCTGTGCAATAAATTCCATGACATTGCCTCTCTGTGGGGATATTTCAGGCCATCTCTAAGAAATTACTGAACTGATAGCTTAAGGATTGTAAAAACTGGTGATTTTTGAGAGTCCAGTTAGAATAAAGGCTGTCAGGGTAGTAGAAGGAGCTGGATTAGCACTGATGCAGTCAGGGCAATGGAAGACTATTGCATGTGGCTCTCCATATATGCAGAGATAAAATCTGTATTTTAAGAAATAAAACAATAACTGAAAACAGATTTTTCTTCCTTTCTGCGTCAATGTATTCATTACGGTAAAAAATTGTGACACTCAGTACATTAACCTCCTCTAGGAGATGCAATGAGAAAAAAATCATTTTCCAACTAAATTCATTGCTGTAAATCAGTTTCCATGCACTTGTTTTTCTTCCTTCTAAAACATTTACACAACCACATAATAACAAATGACTGATTCCCCCAAAAATCCAGCTACATGACCTGTAACGAGTATAACACCTATCTGTCCTAATTCTCACAGCTTTAATGATTTTTAAATTGCTTACATCTAATCACTAATACAGACTAACGCATGATCACCTCACTACCACTAGAGATGAAGATGGCAACCTGGCCCTTCTGGTTTGAATTCCAGCAGGGGAACAAGGTTATTCAAATCAATCAATTGACAGGTTTAGTCTAAATTATCTTCTTTTCCTCTTCTTTAAATCCAGAAGAACTTGCTGGCAAATAATACTACAGACTTATAGCTCTGAAAGGACAGTTATCCAGCTAAATCAAGCAACTAAAGTTTCAGCTTTTAAAAGTTTACTCAAAATAAGAAATTGCCTTGTTTACAGCCATTTTGTCCTTCATGGTTTATTCAAATCACACTACGCTTACAGGCGGTATACCCAAGACCCAATAAATATACAGTTCTGTGAAAAGGTATTCATTTCCCTTTCAGAAGTTCTTTGGCAATGTGCAAAAATTCAGAAAAATGAGGGGGCAAATACTTTTTTCACAGAACTTTCCACTAAACATTAAAACTACACTTCCTAATAGTATCAGCCTTGAGAAAATGAAAATGTCTGTAGTAGATCAATAAGAACATAATGAATGCAATGCAAAGCAGTTAAGATTTTCTAATCCTTTTTGGGTCCCTGAATCAACCCTGCAGCAAATTTCCAACAAATGAAGTTCTCCATTATCCCTGACAGCGACCTATTAAAACATAAAACGCCCATTTTTAAACTCAGAAATTTGATGAATAACAAATAAATGCACAGTGAGCCCGCTTCAATCAAAGGGCATCCTGCTAATGTCATTAAGGCACTAACATCTGCAAATATGTGCTCTCTACAGACAAGAACAGTTTAGAATTAACGCTGAACACCAGGCAAGAGATTTGTTGCTGCCAATTGGCTCATACTCCACAACACACAAAACCCAGTCATATGCACACTGCATAGGTTAGACCATTATTAGGAAACCAACGAGATCTTGGTTCACATGAAATGCGATCACACAATTGACTAGTCAAAGAAATTTTGTGAATACCATTGAGTTTGTGCTTGCAGGGCACTGCATAAGAATGAAGCGGACACAAATGTCACCGTTTGTGTAGAAGCATAACACAAAGCCCAAGTCAAACCATGCCTTCTTCAACTTTGAAGTGTATCGATTGCGAAAAATACTTGCAAAGTACAGGGTCACAATTAGGGTAGTCCAGGACATGTTTACTAGTTAATAAAAAAAAGGTCCAGGTATGTTCATACTTTAAGAAGGCTCAACAGCCAAAATACTGCCTCTTATTTCTAGTTTACTGTGATATTAAATAATGCTTATTATATCTGAAATGCTCTTCATGACAAATAAGCCTTTGTGTCCAACAGTTCAGTGTGCCTTCCAACACTGCAGAAAACGCCTGAAATTTGCGGATTTCCTTCTCTTAGAATGAGGGCTGGATGTTCTGGCTCAGCAGGTGAAGAGTGAAGGATCTGATCCTAAAATATTAACTAAAAATAAAAGTGTTGACCAGAAGCATGCAATTACTTAACAACCGAGAAGACCCATGTTGAGCCAGGCTGCGATCCCTGTACGTCATACCATTAAAACTCATCTCTGCCCCCATCAATCGCTACAGTTGGAAAAACAGGGGGTGTTCAGCACGTGGGCAGGTGCTAAATTAGGTTTGGCAGTCACTGCTGGCATACCATTCCTGTTCCTGCCTAGAACAAGTGTCCTGGTGGGATAAAGACCTCAGGTGGCAAGCTGTTTTGAAGGACTACCCAGCTCTAGTCCTCAAGGGCTACACAGTCACCACAGTTTAAATCAAATTAAAATGTCTGCAGTTAAGTACAGAAACACTGAGTGTAAGGTAAAGAAACTTTCTAATAAAGACACTGGTAAGCAGAAAAGCTGCTGGTCTTGTGTTCTGCAAGGAATTTGACAAGAGTTCAGTCAGGACTCTGAAGGAGCAAGGTTTTTTATTTGCTATTCTGAGAATTTCCTGCACTGTAGATAAAGTCATTGTTTCACCCTATCTCTGGTCTCTGTGTCCATTTCCCAGAATGCTATCTATTTGGGAAAGGCGTTATCTCGAATTCCCTGAGTGTCACAGTAATTAAAGTTAGGAGGCAGAACAGATACCAGATGATGCCGTGACCCCTGAAGGCTGGAGCTGCTTCCTTTAAACCACGGTTAGATAGCTGTGTCCTAAAGAAAAACTGGTTGGTGGCATTAAAATTCTAATTGTTACACTTTTGATTTGAAACCCACTTGTTATACAGAAGCAGAAATTTGTGAGCAATCTCAGTGTCAAAATGATAAAACAATGAACACACTTTTAAAATAAAAAAAATTAGTGGGAGAATGAAGTGTGAGCTGAACAACTAGCTATCAAATCTCTCCTCAAGTTCCAGTTTAGTTTTGTTGCACCATGCTGCTTAAGCAAACCAGTTTGTTGCATTGCTGAATGATTTCTGCACAACTGCTCGTGTTTGCGTCAAGTAGTACTTGTCAAGCAGTGTCACCACTGTATTTGAGCTCTAGAGCAGTGATGCTAAGTGCACTCCAGTTTGCCTCTCTGAAGTGACACAGAGCGACAACAGATTCAGACATTTATATTTACAGGGGCAATGCTAATAAAGAATTGCAGATGTTTTTTCTGTTGAAAAATTATCTAAACAAGGTAGTTCACAACAAGCCTAGACATTCTGGTTTAATATGGAATATCTAGTACAAGTGCCTTAGACCCAATTCCAGATGTGTGCAATACACACTTATATTGATGCTTTTCAAATGATCTAACATCTCTTCCATCAGGATTCCCAGTTTTTTTGCTTCCATTTAAAGCACTGTATCCGATAAGAAAAATGCTGCATTAAAACACTGAGACCTAGTTAAACCTCAAGACTTTACCCTTGTACACCAGCATTTGTGTCAGGCCCTACAGCGATATTGAAAACTGCTTCTCGCACAACCTTTCAATTCTGTGCCACGGCATCCAGGCATTATTCACAAGCCACGGCTGCTCATTTTCATTTGGCAAGTGTGTGCGTGTGTGTGAATTGAACCTTCAATTCAATTACATCTTCAAGTGGGCTTGAATGTTGGCAAAGTACAATCTTTGGCACACGAAAAGATACTTCCTCTCAGCACATCATCACATTAAATCAATTCCTTTGCAGTGTGTTTCACACCTAGATAAAACGTGTACGTCTGCGAATGCAGCTCAGATATGTGAGCAAAGAACACAGTTAATGTTCTGAGCTAAACAAATAATCACGGTAGATAGCACAGCAGACAATGACAAACAGTATACTCACACCCTGCCCTATTGTCCTGGGAAGGTCTTCAGGGTGGTTAATCATATTCAGCTGTATAATACAGATTTCTCCCAACTCTCGCAGGAAGAAACTCAATAAACAAGCCTCCTCCCAAACAAGCTTCCATCAACAGCTGATGGACAATTTAAACTTCAGATTCAGAGAGCTGAACACCCCGATATAATTAAAGTCATCCCCGATCCTTTCACCTAGCTGACCCAGAAATCTTCACTTCTCATGAAAACAAAGTCCTGCCTGAGACACTCGAAGGGGCACTGAAGAGTGTGTTTAAGAGCACACATCACAAAATGTCAAACGCAACACACAAAGCGACGCAAATCCAGGTTTTCAGTCACAAATGTTATCTATCATGCTTGAAACAGGATGACAGGTGAGAGGCTGAAATCTGTCAGCTTACTTGCACTAGATTTTGACAAGAAAACATGGAGCTAGAAATTCCTCTTGGCTCACTAGCAAAACTAAATAAGCATTTAAAATCTGTGACAAGGACACACTACACCTCACCAACAGCAGTGCAGAAATGAATGCATATAGGTCATAAGTACCTCTGCAGAAATATGTTTTGCTTCTCCTTGGATCAGTACATCAGTTCCATTGTATCATAAATTACAAAAAAATTCAGAACCCTTGACTTTAGGGTCAATTTATGGTCACAGCTTAAAATGCTGCCATCGCACAAAGTAAAAAAAGCCTGTTGATCAGCTCCTAAGGCTGATACAAAAAATTTTCCTATGTACAGCTGCAGGCAAAAGTATAAAACTATCCTATTTACAGTACATTGCATTTTTTTTCCATTAGGTGCGGTATACAATGAAACATTTTGAAAGCAAATTAGTGAGGAAAATATACATCAGAGCTTTTCAGTACTAATTCTTGGTTATGTGTATGTTCAGTGTTAATGTTTTGAATTGTTTCCCACCATTCTGTTACAGGCCGAGGAAGAGCCCTGCAAGATACAACAGCTGTCAGCTGCGTTTGGCCCACGGGTCAGCAGTAAGGAACAAGGCTATCAAACAATGTGGCCTTTCCACACGTCGTACCTGGGTGGCCAAGCTGAGGACCTGCTGCACCAGCTCCTGGGTCTCAGTAGGCTTCTTCAGGAAGAGCTTCACAATGGCAGTCAGCAGCTGGAGCTGCACCTGGAAATCAGACATCAGACATCAGGGACATGGCGTTGCTAAACCGACTATCGAAAATACAGGAGACAGGGACACTCCCTACATAGAAGGTAAGTAAAAAAAACTAAAGCTTCTGTGCTGGGCCAGACCCAACTTACTAGACCAATATCAGAACATTCAAAAACCATGAAAAGTTGGTCTAGTTTTTATAATTATTTAAGCCTAGAACCACAGATCTATAAACGAACGGTCACCCATGCTGAAGTATATTCCCGGATGAAGGGGTCTTACAGGGCCTTAGGTGACTGACTGGCATTGTACATACTGGAAACGTGGTGGCTGTGATTAAAGTTTTATCTCGAAGCATTTAGGATGTCAACTTCCACACTAGAGTTCAAGTGGGTTAAAAACATTAGTCAGAAGGAACTGAATCACTTTAGTCCGAGGACAGAAAATGACAAAAAAACAAAGATACCTGGATCAGTAAGCCTGTAAAAAGCAAGACAGCGATGGCCTAGTGCTGGTAGCATTCCTCTTTGTGAATGCAGCATCACCCATCATGGAGAACTCCAGCAGCAGATTGCCAGGGCTGTTAGGAATGCCTACCTGCGTGCTCTCATCATGGAACCCCTCCAGGAAGCTCTCCAGCAGCTCATCCGCATTGTCGATCCTCTCCGCATACTCTCCTACGATCCAGATCATAGCAGCACGCGCCTCGGGCTCATCCAGGGAGTCCAGATTCTCGCACAGCGTGGCGATGACGCTCTCGTACCTGGGACCGGCAGGAGGGAGCAGGAGAAGGTTACCAGAGTGGCAGGAAGATTCCTCTCGCATGAGGGACGAGCCTACCCAGTCTAGAATCGGGGAGACTTGAAGGGAGCATGACACCAGTAGTTAACATCTGGAAAGTGATCCCACTGCTACTTTGAGACAAGAATCCGTGGATGAAAGTGAACATTTGACATTAGATCCACTGTGAAAAAGATCTCAAACCAGGGATGTTATGAAGTAAAAACATGTTTCAACTGAATAGGGAATGCCAGGTTTTAATACTTTTACCACCAGAGTGATAACAAAAGCTACTGCATCCCTTATACTTCTTTTTGGGACTGAACAACTTGCATATACTCCCCAATATTGAGAACAGCACTGCCTGCCTCCTGAACAGATTCAGAGACTATCGCCTTCCCTGGCCAGAACTAACCCCGGATCTCAATCCCTGCAGAAACCCTACGGCAGTGGAATGAGCAGTTCAATCCCACACACACCCTCAGAAGGAGATCCTGTTCTATCCTATTGGCAGAGGATTGGGTTGCGAATATTTAAAAACCTAGTGGACCACAGGTCACAAGATCAAGCAGTTCTTGCTGCCTGCAGGAGACCAGCATGTTCGTTCAAGAAAAGTCTGCTCCTTGTGGATTAACAAAACAGATTTCAGTAGAGCGGAAAAAAAAGAGAAAGACCGGAATACTAATACATGTTAATGATGGCAATTAAGTCAGGCCGTGTTCGCCACATTAGAGTCGTCTGACAGCACTCCTAAGAGGGGTTCACGCAGTGCTGGAATATGAATCTTTTTTAATGTACAAACACATCTAAAGGCATGCAAAAAAACACATTAACATGCCTTTCACAGGATCCTGAGTGCAATACCCAGCTTTAAAGAAGTGAAACCAAGAAAACCAGTTTCTGCTGATTTCAGTAACACCTTCATAAATGAGAAGAGGGCAACCAAATGTACGTGCTGGTTGAGAAGGCAGTGTCCACTCTACTCCTGATCACTTTCATCATTGCGGCACATGCAGACAGAGATCGAGCGCCTTCATAACACTTTTAACATGCTCAACTCCCTTTGATTTTGTGAAGAGAAAGGAACAGTCTAAGCACACAAGTCTCTGCAAATTAAAGTTGCAACAGAACAATCATTGCAGAGTGAGATGCAGGTGCATTTGACTTCTTGCTCATTAGATAGACCCATCTCTCTGAATACCATAAAATCAAACAAATTAAGAATTAAAGAATTAAACAAAATACTGCTAGTTAAGATTTAAGTATCTAAATTAAGGACAAACCAAGAAACCAATGAAAATAAAAACCCTGGGCTCTATACGAGAGGAAAGGCACCGGGAGAGGCACATACTTGTTGGGATACTTGCGGAAGATGTCCTTAATCACCACGATGGCTTCCTGAACAACGTAGTTGACCTTGGTCTGGATAAGGTCCAGGAGTGTGCTGACGCACCTTTCTGCAGATTGCTGAAAAAAAGATTTCAAAACAGCACTCGTGAACAGCACTCCCTGGGATTCAAAAGGTACTACTAAAGGCCTCCAATGCACCAGACTGAGAATAAAGACAGGGATCAACCCCGACTTCACCAGCTTTTGCGGATGAGTTTGATCAAAATTCCGCTTGTTCACATACAACCTGGGAGTGCTGTTTGTCTATTGTTTCCAATCTCTCAGCGTTTAATGGTGTCCACAACACTTCCAGTCATTTTTGCCAAAAATATAAAAAGAAAGGCAAAACCTGCTACTTCTCTTTTTAACACCAGCCGATTCAGAGGCACGCAATCGATATGGAATATCACACCAGTGCACTAGCTGGTATACTGGCATCTGCTAACACACAAGGACTCAGAATACAGAGTGTTGATTTCCTGGCTAAAAATCCCATGTGTATGAAAAAGCATGCTTGATCAGCAAACCTGAAAGATGGAAGCATTCTCAAGAACACACACAACACTCAGTGTGCTCAGTGCAGATGAACGGTTTAATGAACAACAGACTAAATACACGTTGGAAGGAAAGTACCGAAAGGAAAGTACCGAAAGGCACAGTGTGCCCATTGATAAAGTCAACTAGATCATTCCTGCAAACTGGCGCATTCATGTTGTTAACCCATAAAACAACGTGTTTTGCAAACAACAATTTCTTGTATTTGCAAGTGTTTGCAGATGGTCCAGGAAACAGAAAAGTCCCATTTTCTGAATCCAGAGACTTAACGGGCTTAGAAAGCAGTGCCATCTAATGAGGGAGAAGGCAAGTGCACCTGCGTGTCTCACTCTGCGGTGATCGCCAGCCTGTTCTTGATGTAATTAGGAGCTGTGAATTTCAAAAGCTTCTTCTACAAAGCACTTTCTTCTCCACTCCCTCATCAGTCATTCACTGCTCAGATTTATTTTTAGAAGTAAAACCCCCAGAGAGGAAACTGATGCTACATTCTCTACAGAAGGGTAAACAAATAAGAAGGCAATCTTATTTCATCTATGTAGCTTGCAAACCATGCTTGCTAATTAAAGTTACGTAAGCTGAAGGAGGCAAAAACAGCACCATGGACAGATTGGGAAAACAAATCCCCAGGGTAGCCCTGTGAAGCTACTCAGCCATCCTTACATCTTCAAATTCAGTACCAAACCAAAGTTTTCAAGCAAAAAAATGTTTAAAGGGCATGGTCAATACACTGAAACAATGAGATTTTCATCAATGCCTCATGCTCAAGTAAAGTGTATTTGACATGTTGGAAAAAATGCTGCTGAATTTCTCTGGGAGACAAGCGCAAAACTGTCAAGTGGCTGAACATTTCATAAAAGCAGCTGACAGATCCTGCATTATGGTTACAGGTTTGGGTTATTAAATAAAGGAATGCTGTCAGTCCTAATGCAACAGCAATTTCTTGCCTTTGGGATGACTTTGAAGACCCGCTGGATAAATATACAACCTGCTTTGCTTTTCCTCAGCTTATGGTTTAGCCACAGGTGTCTTTAATGACACAGTGAAATGTCCAAAAGCGCAGCCCACCGGAACGCTTGTTAAAGAGATTCTGGAGTGAAAGCCATATTTACAATAAGGATATATTTCATCCTCTAAAGCGCACATAGCCACCTTCCCATTACAAATACTGCAGTAAAAGCGCCTTTAATGAGCTGTGTCAAAGCCCAGCCAAGTGCAAGTCTGTAAATTTACAGGAACCGCATGAAACATGGTGCTGTGGCTTCAGCGACGAACGCCTGCAGCTTTAATAAGCTCCAACTGCTCGGGTGCCAGGGCCACCCTCTCCAAGCCCCAGCTGGGGCACCACCGGGCGACGAGGCGGAGCCCTCACCTCCACCTTAATGGCGCAGCGGCCGATGGCTCGCACCGCCTTCCGCACGAAATCCACATCCACCTCCGTGGCGTATTCCTTCAACTCGGCCAGAACCTAGGAGAGATAATAACAACATCAGGGACGATACAGACACGAGCTCCACACACCTTAAGGTTTCCGTAAGTGTCAGGACATTTCACTCCTGACGGACGTCTAGCAAAGAACAATGAGCAGGTGACATTTAGTCCAGCCGGCTCTGTCCTCGGCAACGTATGAATTGCAAATTCTCTCTGGATTACTCTTGAAAGAGAAGATTTCTCTATAAAATGGCCATTCTAGACAACTCCAAACTCTGTGTGGAAAGAAAAATCTCCACTTTACAGTCCCAAACGCACTTCCTTTCAATTCCCCACGTCTGCCCTCAGGTCCTTGTGTTCCCTGCAGAGGTTGAATTATGCGGTCATTACCTTTCCCCTTTAGGTAAGGAAAAAAGCCGGGATCTTTAAATGGGGTGTGCACAATATGTGGTCGAGCCCACAAACGACTCTGGGGACTTTTAAGATCTTTCAACATGTTTCGAGATAAAGAACTGCGGATAAGTTTCTTTGAAGGGAACAAAGCAGGACAACCGAGTGTGAAAGGAAAGGGCTTATAAATGAATGACATGGTTGCAAAGGCTGGGTACAGACCATACTTCTGCTCTTTGGTGGCTTAAAAAGTCAAGAGCTGTTACAAATTCACACAGAATGCTTTAGGAAGAGCACACAAGTTTGAAAAGAAATAATCCAACACCAGTAAGCTTATAACGATTTTAAACTAGGATTTTGAAGTATTTGCACGTTTGATCCTTATCTCTATGAATCACATAAAACCTGCAATGAATGACACTAAGAAAGTATCAATCTGCCTATTTTAATTGACTGCTGTATTGGTCATGTTGCATTAAGCACCAGCAGGATTTTTATAATACTTGTACATTGGAAGCACAGTTTCATATTAAATGAGGAATGTGAAAAGGACACTCCACTTCAAATCTACTAAAGATCATCAGGACTTGGCTTAAGCTGCTATGCTGTTATTTACAGTGGAAAAGTAATAAAAACCTTGCTCTCCTTCGATTTTGCAGTTCTTCCCTGAAGGTATGGTGTGCAACTGTCACTTGCAGAAACAACTCAGAGCAATCTCCATGACACCAAAAAAAAGTTTTATCCCCTTCACAGCAATTGGAAAGATCATGCCCAAAGGGCAAGAGCGATTCCAATAAAGCACTAAGTCTGGACTTTAATAGATCTCTGTCTGGAGCGCATTACAGACATGGAACACATACAGAATAAGAAAACTCCTGTACTGCACGTCTTTCTAAATTTTGCCTTAAGGTTTAAATCTAGATTTAAGACAAGCATATAAACACTGTAATATATTTGTGCTCAATCCTCAGCACTGTCATTTATCTTGAATGTTTCTGTAAAGACAACATGCAGTAACAATAAGGTTTTACAGATGTCCTAGATGTACTTTGATTATATGATATTAACAAGACTGCGATTCTCCTACCACCTACAGATTCATATCCAAACATTTTGGAATGCTTTTTGATCCTTACAAAACATACCTGATCTAAAATCCTTCTTTAATAATTTATGTTCTATTGTCCTGTTGGAAGCATAAACTGTCAAGGAAAATTTAAAAAGATTTATCTTATGTATTCTGATGTGGAACGCAAAGCTCATTCAGGCTTTCAGATGAACCCTTCCAGAACAATTCCAGCCGAGACGCTCCACAGCAGCACTGCAAATGAGGCGTTAAGATCTCAGTCCAGTAAACCCTGTAAATTGTGTAAAAGCCGTCAGCAAGCCCGATCCACACACACCAAACCCATTCACTCACACAACGCACTCAATCTAGTGTCTCTGGCTTATTCCTCTCGTCATGATGAACTGGCTTGTCACTTACACGGACACTACAAACATGAGAAAAACAAAAATCTCAATCACCCTGAAATTCAATTTCTCTTCTGCTACAACAAATATACAAGGAAGGAGTAAGTGAATTTCAGTGTTCCTTTATATCACGATTGTCTGATTTTTCACATTTTTAGGTATAAAAAAATTACACTTTGGATTTTTTACAAAACAAAGGCTCTGGTTACTGCTGCCAAGATAAAAAGTAAATCAGGAAACATTATTAAACCCTGATGGTTTCAGAACAACCTATTCATTTCCAGTCTTTTTGTTGCTGATCTGATGAGGTTTATGAAATTTATTTTGGCCAATCACAAAATTTAGCATCTGAACGCGCACTGTAACACTAGGAGGAGCTGCATGTTTGTCTTCAGCACAGAATGAGCTCCACGCTCCAGATGCCACAAGTTGACAGCTGACATTGACCATTATTCCTAAACAGGGGAACACAACCGGGTCAGAGTTCCAGGATGCAGGGATTGGGATGATCAGTAACTACTGTGGCCTTCTAAGCACCTGCAAGTCATGAAGAGCTGCTTGACTTCCAATTAGCACTGAACCTCCTCTGCAGTGTGGAGTGTCACAAAGACAAATAGCCCAGTGGCTAGGCAGGTCAGAGGGCTAGTCTCCTTGTGAAGGTACAGGGGCTGTGCTGTGAGCAGAGATGTCAAGACATTCTTCAATTCCAAAGGGGGCTGGTATGTAATAAACTAGATGGCTGCGCAAGTACTAAGCAGCAATCAGATGGACCGATTGGTGTATGTTGTTGTTCCATACACTTCTTACATAGAGTGAAGCACATTGCAGATGAGGGCTAAAATGTTTTAAGCATTATGTAAACTGACCAAACACCTTGATCAATTAGAAATGCAGATGTGAGAAATGACAAAATCCTTAGCCCCTCAAATATTGGAGCTGTACAGAGATCACTTTCACAATCCAGCACAGCTGAATGCTCCATTATGTCACATTTAAGCAATAGTCCCGTCTCCCCTCATACCTGAGCAATGTTGGCTTGTGAAGCCAAGCGGATCATGATGTCCAGCTTCTCCAGCTTGACATAGATGGGGTCATTGTACTTCACAAAAAACACCTTCATCTCGTGCTTAAGGATCTCTGGCCTGGGAGACGGAAGAAGAGACGGAGTGTGAGCACTTCAAAGTTTCAGTGGCTCAACTCTTCCACCAAAACCAAGACTGTACCCCTGTTCAATCCCACTATGCAATTCCTTACCGTTTCTGTACAATGAGATTGATGTTGCGCAGGGCCACATATTGAAGCTCGGGCTCCGCAGACAAGAGAGTGACCAGAGGGGGTGCCAGCTTCTTTAGGAGCGTGCCATAATAATCCAGGTCCTTGGGAAGCATTTCCATGAACTTCATTAGCACCTTGACTGCGGAGAGCACAACAGCCGAGTTGGCGTGAGACAGGCGTGGAGTCACGCGTTCACAGATGCTGGGGAAAGAGAAACAGTACAGTCAAGATGGGGTATAAGCTGGTCCATTCAATGTCAGCCTCAAAACTTTTTAAAAGACTCACATACAAAAGTCAAACCTAGCTTACACACGGCTGCATGTGCTGTATCTGTACCCCTCAAGCAGGCTCTTAAAATTTACAAAAATCACCAACTTCCTTTATATTTTAAAGATATTTCCGAGCAAATTATGACGCAAATGTCTTTAGCATTAGTAAAATAAACTTGATATTCTGAGAAAACCCTGGGGGCTACAATGTAGTTCCTCAGAAGCCCCACTGGGGTGGGTCTGGTGTGGGTCTGTGTCTGCCCTGGGATGGACTGACGTCCTGCCCAGGGTGTACTCTACCATGTGCCCGTCACTTACCAGGTTAGGCTCCAGCTCCTCCACGACCCAGAATTGGAAGAATCGGTTAGAAAATGGATGGATCACTAGTGTTTACATAGCCAAAGTTCCTACTCTTCAGCAGAGCTCTAGACGGATTTGTTATTGCCCAGACATTGGCTGCTTGCTAGGAAGTGTTAAATGACTGCTGTCAGGCTAATTTAAAACTGAAGCTGAAAACCAGCTGCGTCTACTTGTCAGAATCAGACAGGCGTTGACACAGCTACAGAAAATGGAATACATCCAATATTGACAATGACAACAGGTACACAAACACTTAGAAAGAAGCCACTTATCTCAAACATCCCACTTCAGTTTGAACAAAATAGTTTCCATAGATTCCTTGCTCTGTTTTTTTGTATGATCTCTGCATTTCTGCATCTTTGCATCCTATTGTTTCAGGCTTCTCTACAGCAGCTCGTTACAGCTGCGGCTTCATGCTTCCAGGCTGGCACACTATTCAGCTCAAGTGTCTAAAATTGTGCTGCCAAATGAAAATCATTTCATCATCATCATCACATGCATTCCAGGTGAGAATTACGCCAGTGTACAAATCCGCCACAGCCCTGGAAAACAAATGCCCTGGTGTGTCAACGTGCGGCACGAGGACTAGTCCAGCGAGCCGGACTCAGACGGCGCTCCAGGCTGACCTCTGGGACTCGCGGTCGTCGCGCGGCGTGTAGTTGGCCAGGCAGTCCAGGATGAAGATCTGGCCCCACTCCGTGCACTCGTTGAGGGCCGTCAGCAGCTTGTTGATGGACTGGGGGTTGAGGTCGAGCAGGTTGCTGTTGGGGTGAGACTCCGCAATCTCAGACAGTGCAGCCACCGCATTGGCCACCACCTACGGGATAAGCGAGAGCAAGCAAGCCCACAGTCAGCCAGTCCTTCACAGAGCGTCCACACCCTCTCGGGTCATCCTGCATCACATCAGAGCACAGCGTGGCACGCTGAAGAGCACGGCGGCAATCCAGATTAAGCAACAATTGTATCAATATAGTATTTGGTGAGAAAACGCCTTCAGATGCTGCTTTGCACTAAAGTTTCTTTAAAACTGACATGAAGACCTGAAGAAAGCTGTAACTTCCACCCAACCCGGGTTGCAGGTGCAGCGCATACCAGCAGAGCCCCCTGGGCCTGTGCTCTCACCATGGGGTTGGAGTCCGAGATGAGATCCTTCAGCGTGTCCAGGAAGCCCTGGTCCTCCACCAGCTGGGCGTTGATGTCGTGCAGCTTGGCCACGCAGACTGCCGCCGTCTTGCGCACATAGGGGTCCTCGTCCTTCAGGCACTTGCGCAGGGGCTCACACAGGTACTCCGTGATCTTATCCACACGGATACAGCCCATAGTGCGCACCGCCAGGGCCCGGATCAGGGGGTTGGGATCCTCACAATCCTAGAGTGGGAACAATGTTGTATAAAACGCGTTCATTCCCCTGCTTCTACCGGATGCATGCAGCTAAGCGTAGCAACCATCCGAGACGATGCTGCTTCCAGCTGACAGGGGCCTGCTGACCCAGCCTGCAGCAGGTGAGATAAAGACACACGCCACACAGAAGACAACACAGCTGCTCGTCTATAGACAAAATGTGCAGAGAAAAAACTCTTTCCACAGAACTCAAACAGCACTATTGCTTTGCTGAAATCACTGCAACAAGCACTGTTGTTCACAAGCAATCATAAGTATCCCTGGTGAATTAAATGTGCAGTTCAGCACACACAGATATGACTGTTCATTACTATAACTAATACTATTGGTATTAAAACATAATGTTCCAGCTCCCCTGCCACCTTAAACTGGATGAAGCAGTTACAAAATGGAGGGATAGATATAGCACTGGTAAAAAGTTAACACTCTGTCCTCCCCCAGTACTGGACCTACTGGGCCATTAAGTGGAAAAATCCCAGTTCCCAGGAGAAAACAACGGCAGTGAACCCTGATCCTCAAGACCAAGTTCACCTTCTGCCAGGGGCCCCCACGCACAAAAAAACACTGAAAACCTATTAAAAATTACCTACTGAACTCTACCTACCCTACTAAATCAAGTTCATCCATTTTTTAACCGCTTTCTTGTGGGGATAACAGGCCCTGCAGGGCAGGATAAGTTAACACTACCTCCTCCCCCTGTACTGAACAATAGTTTGGTACACTTTTCATGTTTGTGATTAACCCCATACATAAACATTTTACATTAAAACAAGACATTAAAGAATCCCCTAACTCTTCATTATGAATCACACTAAGGTTAAGATGCCAAGTAAATACAGTATGAATTAAGATAACCACTTAAATGGTCCAAATAAATAAGTTTTATACCCATGTGTGGTGTGATTAAAGGGTGAGAATTAAACACACAAGAATGAACGCGCTACACAAATAAGTAACTTGGATTACGGCTATCCCTTTACCTTGACAAAGGTATTGACAGCCATGATGGCCATGTCTGGCTGACTCTTGGCGTAATTCATCAGATACAGATAAACCAGCTTCTTCAGCTCCAGGTTGTCCGTCTGCATGCAGTTCACAACATCAGGGAAAAGAGCACTGGGCAAGAAAGAAATATGTACATTAAAGAAGCAATATGTACAGTAAAGAAGACTGTTTGGTGGAGAAAAACCAGTAAACATGCACAGAGTGGCGAAACACTGCTGTCTGAACCCACCCGTTCTGTTGAAAGTACGCCTTCTCAAAAACAGGAAAAGCACTATGACACCCTTACTAAAAAGTAATTTTCTTTATTGCAGCTTTCCAACACTTCAAGTATTAATTTCTATGTTTAAATATTACAGTGAGAATGGACACCAAAAGCAAGACCATAACAATACGTTACGCCTACACAAAATGATTACTAACATTCTGTTGAGTAAGAAGAGGAGCTTATTCTTTCATTTGTGTTACTTGTAGAGTTGCTCCTGTTATCCAATCGAGGGAAATTATTTTAATTCAAAGGCCGGGTAGCAGCTTTCTCTTGGGACAGCCTGGTGAAGGCCAGCCGCCCTCGCCTGTGCGAACTCTCACTCACCTGACATCTTTGCCCACCGTCATGGAGGCGATCACCTTCTTCACAGCCTCCTTCTTCTTCTCCTTCTTATCGCTGTTGAGCTCCGCCTTGAGCTCGAAGATCTCCCCTGCCGGGGCAGACATACCGTGAGCAGGCCTGAGTGTGGACATGAACGACCTGCCATCTGCAGGCCCGCTGTCCAGGAAAGCGATCAAGACCATCTGAAATGACTGACTTACACCAGCCAGGCAAAGGCACTCATGACCAGTCACCAGCATTTAGCAGCTCAAAAACTCTACCTCAAGCCATTTAGGTGAAAAACAAAAACTACTGCACGTATCAGAAAGGACGTTTAAACTAGAAAATTTAAACAGGAGGGCTTGTGGAATTAGCGTCATGAAAGCCGTGACACTCCATATCCACATATGTGCTGCACATTCAATAGGAAACAAATTCTCAGTGAAAATACCTTAATATAGACAACGATCTAACTCAAACACATTCGAAAGGGGCAGTTTGCTTTGCTCAAGCTGACTTGTGAGGAAAGAAAAAAACAATCAGTGGGGTGTATATCTGAACAGGTGCACAAACTGTTTTCACCCAGTTGACAGAGTGAGTTAGCAGAAATAAAGCAGACTAGTACAGACATTGGAGCGACAAGTGAAACAACTTTCTCCTTCGTGTGTTTCAGGGAAAAGAGACTAAACGATTACAAAAACAGAGCAGAAATACAAGGCGACAGGCATTTACTTTCAGGAAGTCTCATACTTTGCACTGTTTATGCCCCGAGAATAACCGATAGAAAGTAAATGACCTCAAATGATCACCTGACATCTACATCAACCTTGGATTTTAAGAAGCAAATAAATCTCCACAGTAACAAATACTACAAATGGAATTTTACTGCTGGCTACTGAAAACACAAAAGCAGACAAGGTCACAAAAGCAGCAAGACAGGACACAACCAAGTGGCAACAATCTTAATGCTCCCTAATCTTATTAACTAACTTTAAGCTGTACTATTTTTAAGAAACCAGACACTGAGAAATGCTGGAAAAGAGACACATTGTTGGTTTAATCATTTGCTCTATACGTTGGCCCCAATGTGTCCCACAGCTACCCAGATTGGAAAAGAAAGCTTTTTAGAGTTTTCATAATAAACCAAAGAAAGCACACTTCCATTAAGAAGCAGAGCTTTTGGGAAAGGAAAACCTAGTCGTGACTATATTCCCCCATTTCTAACCATAAGGCTTTCCCCACACTACTAAGAAAAGATAATTAACAATATATACCACAGCCTCATTCAACTGTGCTGTGGACAGACGTTAGCGAAAGGGAAACAGACTCTCCCATGTTATTATCTAGCTCTCCCAGCTGCAGCAGCTTCTGAAGAAGGCTTGTTGAGAACTGGCGAGACAAACAGAAGCAGCACATCATTCTTGAGCACTTGTAAGAGCACAGTGATCTATTTATCATGTGACAATGTCACACAATGCTGGTTCTCTTCCCTGGGACAGCTCTTCTGGGTCAGCTTTGAGAACAGCACTTTTGTAACTAGAGTTCATTTGTCTAGCAAACAAAATACAAGCAGAATCTGGGAATCAGAAACAACAACAGCCCATTAAAAATCAGCATCACCTTGAAAGACATCATCCCATATAAATTATTGTAGCACATAATTTGATTATGTCTAATTCATGATTTGTAAGATATACAAAACCAATGACTGGTTCAGTATTTTAACATTAAGAAGAAACTCTACACTATGCAAAAATACCATTGGAAACAGAATCGGACTGGGCCAGTGCTTTAAATGAAGAAGGAACACAAAGCAGGTCCTCGTAGTCTTTGTGAGGGTTATCATCAGATTTCAAAATTATATGTCAAAAAAGCCAGAGTGAAAAGGTTTTCACTCTACAAAAGAGTAATACATAACACGATACATTTCTGTGTAATAAAGTTTGTGCAATAATAGAATAAGAGATTCTGCCCAGTTAAAAAAAAAAGTGGTTATGTTAGGTTTAGAAGCTGCACGATACTTATTGTTCCCTCCTCACTGCAAAATGGGAGTGGAAAGTGGGTGTATCGATTTCAAACCCTGTGATAAGACCCTCTCTGAGTAACACTGTTACATTATCATATCAGAACAGCACAGCCAGGACAGGTTCTGGGTCTCTGTCCCTTAGTGCACAGTATCTCCACCAGATCTCTGAACCGGCAACCTTCCAGCCACAGCCACAGATCCTTAGCCACAGAGCCACCGCTTTAAGTAACAGCACTTAAAGAGCTGGGAGAGTCTCTTTAATCAAACCAAATATGAGTTGATACATGTCATTCTGAGCTCAGCTGGACTGAAAAGCAACCAGAACCGGGGAACCTTGGTTTAGAGGGTCTGTTATCAAATAAAGAAATAACAAGCAATATGCAGTGGATCTTATGCATCAAAACCTGACCCTGCCATCCGGAGGATGACCAGATCCAGAGGTAACATTGAACAACCGCAGTCACTTAAGTTTTCCCCTTTTCAGATATTTCAGACTTACTATCCGAGAATTAGAGTTCAGCACTGTTTCCATAGTTGCAAAAGCATTCGAGTTGTGTTGGGTAGCATCAAAACATCAAAAATGCTCTATGCCAAACACAGAACAGCAATACATTCAGACTAGAACTCTACAAGAAAAGTAAGATGGAACATAAAAAAATCTCTAATCTTCTCAAATGCCTACTTCAGAAAAGAAGCAACAGCATCAAATGCTGGAATTTGGATGATCCTGATGCAAAAAAGCAACAATGCCAATTTAACATTTAACATAAGGAAAATCGGGGCACATCACAAATATCAAAACTATGTTGAAAATACCTGGGAGAATAAAACTATAAAAAGAGATTCAATTGCACTAGGCCCTGGGAAAAACATGTTTTTTTCCCTCAGCAAACCAAGAGCCCAGAATGAACACGGATAAATTAATCAGCAATTAAGTTTTATATATTATGAACCAGCCAGAAACAGCTCTTGCCAGCCTTTCAATCCCTTGTTAACCAACACACACGAAACAAAGACGAGGCCCGGCCTGCCTGCCAAGCATTAAATACACTGCATACACTCAACAGACCGAGCTGCTTGAGCAGCACGGACAAAGCGAATTACAAAGATGCTGCGATGGCCGTACCTTTCTTGGTGGTGGTGAAGTACTTGGAGTCTGTCATCTTGGCCAGGAGGCGTCACTACTTCTGAAAGAGAAGATTCGGACAGAGTGTGAGAAAGGAGCGCTGGCACAGCATCTACCTCCAGGAAAGAGACGCTGAATTCTGCCGAAGAGGCTGGAATTCAGGCAGCTCGGCTAAAGGGGAAAAAAAGAGGTTAGGTGCCCACCGCCCAAACACCCCTCCCACAAACACACAGGGCTAATGTTATCACAAAAGGAGAAAAACAAAACAAAAATCCTTAGCAAGCAGAAGTGCTAGCCAAGAGGACAGAACATAACTCCCCAGTGGTATCGGATTGTCGTTGATCATCACATGGGGGCTTTCCTGTTATTTAACCTCATGCTCCATTCATTTCCTCCTCCACATTCTTGTACATTGTCTGCTTTGGCATTAGGCTGGCTGATCTGCTGTTCCATCTTCCAAAATCAATGAGAAACTATACAATATATTGCGCATTTGGGTTTCATCTGTAGGGTGCTTAATAACAAAAGACTGAACTGAATTGTGGCATGGAGGCAGAGTAGCTGGCATCGCTATAGTTCAAGTGCGACCTGAGGTTTGCTTCTGCAATTTATTACACCAAGTGTTGCTTCTTAGATAAAGCAACATTCAAATGTTCAGTTCAACCCCTGCTGGGTTTCTAAATACGTTCTGAGATTCATCACAAATCCCCTCTGCATCAATTCCATACTGTTCAGTCTTTTACTGCAACACATGACAGGAGGATGAAAACAGCCCCTTGCTCAGGCATTCTACCTGAACTGGGCTAAATCACAGGGACATCAGGTCTCACTTTCTAACACACCAGGAAGGGATTTAAAAAAAAGAGGTGGTCAACCTTCTGGGCCTCCGCGAGCACCCAGAAAATCTAAAAAAAAAAAAAAGGATGTGCCACATATGTGAAGCCTAGTCTTATCCCATGTTTTGAGCAGGATTGCTTTTAGTTGAAATAAGGATTGTGAATTTGAATTAATGGTGTGTGGAACTGATGCAGAGGTTTTCTATAATATGGACTTACAGAGATGTCGTAAGTGGTTTTCATGAACCATGAGGCAGATTTTTTCTCATCATTTCCTAACCACTTCATCCAGTCCAGGGCCATGAGGGAGCCAGAGCGAGCCAGAGCCTATCCCAGCAAGCATCAGGTGCAAGTCAGGGTACACCCTGGATGGGACGCCTGTCCATCGCGGAGCAAAACTGCACGCGCGCACACCAGGGCCAACGTTCGCCAATTCACCTGCCACAATCACACTGTGGGGGGAACCTGGGGCAGCTGGGGGAAACCCATGTGAACACGGGGAGAACATACAAGCCCAGGTCCAGAATCGAGCCCTGCACTGCGAGGCAGCCATGCTGACCACTGCGCCCCACCAGACTCCAGTTCGTTTCCCTGCCACTGCAGACGGAGACTGGAAACAAGTACATTTTAAAAGCTTGCAAAATACCACAAAACACTAAAGATATTGGAAGATTCACTGATATGCCAAATATACCAAGTCACACAACTTTACAAGCAAATATTGCCTGTAATCATGTTTTTAATTCAGGTAACAACAATTATGATGCAGCAGAAAATCAAGAACTCAAAAGTTCTGTTCACACGTACTTATCTTCAGGTAGAACTGGAGAATCTAGAAATAAGAAACCAACTGGACACGAACCCACTACCCTGAGCTAGTCGTGGCCCAGTCTTACTGCAGTTGTGCTCAAATAAAAACTATCAATGTGCATTGACAGTGTTATTCACTGAATAGCATTATGGTTAGTTGCTCCATTTTCCCAAGGGTGTTTAAGTTTAAGCAAACCCCAAGATTCAGAAATGCTGTTTTTTCCCCCTCAAATTAAACCAAGATCCTTAGTTGTTAGGTGTGCTTGGGGGCTTCACAGACTTTCATTTATAGATGCCGACAGAGTATAAAAAATACCTTAACATTTTTAACTATTCTCTTGGAAATAGCAAAGGTCAGAGGATAAAGTTCTTGAGCACTGCTGAATCAGGAGCGTGATCACTGACACTCAGTTCATTAAGCACAGAACAGGTTTAGTTTATGATTAACCATGCATTACTGCTTGAATTTTGTGTATAGTTCAAATAGCTTTAAAACATGCAAAAGGGTGTATCAAATACCTAGGCAGACATTTAACAGTTGTTAAAACCACATATCCAGTACCAGCTAATCCACCCTAAAGATTAGCCAGCCTGTGCAATCAGAAAAAAATACCTTCAGTAAAATAGACATTGCTTAACAGTAACGCCTTTAAGCACGTTTAAAAGGGACCAAATGTGTCTCACTCCGACAATGCACTGCTTGTGTGATATGTATAAATAATCCCTGTTTGTGTTCATAAAACATTAATAAGAAAAACTCGGGTATTTTAGTCAAATTACAAGAAGAACAGGCATGCAGTGCAACATGATCGTATCTCCTGCTGTAAAGAGGGACACGACCGACTCTTAGCTCACGACAGGTCCCTTCACAATAACGTCATTCTGGGGTGAAACTGAAGTTTCTGTTCCGTCCAGACTCAGGAAACACACAAAAGGTTTCCATTACAACTGGTTTTCCACCGTGCTCAAATTTCAGGTATCAAGCGCACTCATACCTCATACAGCAGTTTTTGAAGTAACCATGAAACTCCAAAATAATAAAAAGGCCAACTAAGACAACGATTTGAAAAACACGCTCGTTCACTCCACTACATTCCTACACCAGCCGGACTTGTTAAATTCGTGTAGTAATGCAGCGCAATGAATGAACGTGCACTACACTTGACCTTATAGATTCAAGTAAAATCAAGAAAAAAATGCGACTAAGCTCAACAACCTTGTCTCTGAATACCCGGCCTCTGCTACAACCGTCGCCTTCACTCACTTCATCAAAACCGAAGGAAAAGCCAATAAATAAAAACTTGCAATACTACAAACAGCTGTGTGTACAACTCGGCCTTCCCTCCCACTTTCTCTGGGTAACACAATCATCTGATGCACACTTCCGGCCCGTCTCTTCCGCAATCTTTAAACTCGCATCTCCGGGGGACGAGGCGCTGGATCGCGGCGATGCGGGGACTTTTACAAGGCCCTACCTCTCTCGGTGGCTCCGCAGCGGCCCTAGTTCGGTGTATGCTTGCGGGTCTCGGATGGATGGCGATGAAGTGCGGGAGGCCCTGTCGCCCAGTGGAGCTCGGCTCTCCAAGATGTCTGACTGCGCTGTGCCGTCACCTGCCCGGCCGGAAGAGACGGCGAACAGCACTTCCGCCTGACACCTGCCGACTCCTTATGGTCCGGTAATAGACTGATGTTTAACCAACGCGGGTTCTTCAACCCTTATTGCGTTTCCGGGTTGAACTCATATTAATAATAATATTGTGTAATAATAAAAACAGTTCACTTAACATTTTAACAACATAAAAAGGGACCCTGCACTCATTAAGCAGTAAAGCACATTAACCCATTCGTGCAGGGTAAATATTGTTACAAGCAGGTGGAAACCAAACGATTAATAGTATCCTATCAAATATTTTCCACATCCTTAAAAGAGGAACATGCGATGTTATTATGATCATCTGAACCCATAGAAAATCCTGTCTGACTACTTCTGATAACAGAACCAGTACAATGCTGTACACAGTGCAACTCTAGCTGATTTTTAGAGAATGCAAATAATACCTAGGGTAGTTTGTTATATAAACACACACGTGTTGGCACCCTTCATCTCCAAAATGTTCTTCTCTTTTGCTATTCTCCAAAATAAAGTAAAATACTCTAACCTAAGCAAACATTTTTGTTGTTTGCAACATTATTGTTGTGTGTATCCAAAGTTTAAAAACAATCTGCTCTGATACAAACTTATTTATTTCTTGATGGAATTTACAGTCTATTCTACAGTAGAAGCACACAAGCTTAGCCTAAGAGAGTACCAGAATGATTTTCTCCTCTGTAGACATTCTCATTATGTTTAAACAGGAGGAAAACATTCATGATGGAGGAGAAAACAAGTTCATTATGTTTTTTACAGAATGTTTTTTCCTCTTTAACAAGTTCGGTTACACTGCCAGGAGCCTCAGGCTCAAATTAATGTTAATTGTTCTAAATAACCTGCCCAATTATTTGTTTAAACCAATATTTCACTAAGTAGTAATGGGGAAAAAAAGCACACACCCGGGGTTTTGGAATTAGCCTATTAGGCTTTTTAATAATTTGCTTTGAATTAAAAAAAATGAAACAATTAGACAAATGCTGTTTGTTATGCAGGTAGCCTGGAGGAGTGATGAAAAGTAATGTAGTGTTACCCATAATCCTTGGGTCTGGATTCAGTTATGATCTGGGACATAATGTCTGTTTTCTGGGATTCCTCCAGGTGCGCGGATTTCTTCCCACAGTCCACAAATTATTGTTCAGGGTAATTGGCATCTTTACATGTCCTCCCACCTGTGCCATTAGATGGACTGGTATCCTGTCCAAGGTACAGTATGTCCCATTTTGTGCCCATTGTTTGCTGGGTTAAGTTCTAGCTCATGAGAACCTTGTACTGAACTAAGTGATTATTGCTTCACACACTGCAGAGAATGTTTAATTTGGAACAACACAATTGGAAATTGATGAAACCAGTCACAGACATTGAGTAATAGTCAAGTTTTGAAATTGCTCCAAGTTCCAAGTTCACTCTGAATACCAAAAAGCGTTTCTTTAAAAACAGAAACCAATTCAGTCCTAGAATGTGTGTTAATGGACACCCATTGAATTGAATGCAATGGAGGAAAAAAAATCCCATTTTAAATTAAAAATGTCAGCGTAGTTCCCACAGATTAGACAAAGCTGTCTCCTTTGAGGAAGATAACTTATGCAATGGAGAAAGGTCATGAAGAATTGTTTAGGTGTGTTTTTGAGCATAAAAGCCCTTGTTCAGAATTCTGCTGTGAATCATCATTCTACATTTAGATCTGCGTTTATATGTGTATATTACAAATGACACGGAGCTTAAGATGTTAGTGGTCTGTTTCTACAACAGCTGAAACCTGAGCAAAGGGCACTCCTGTCCATGAGACCATGGGAAACACAGCACACTCTGTAGGACACCTGATCACCTCTTGTTCCCAATGGTTCTATAAGCCAGGAGTGTTTTCTGTTCATTTGGAGGGTAGAACTAACGCTTGGCCAGATAAAGAGGATAAGTAGTGACAAAAATTAATGAGTCTTATTAAAACAAAAATAGGCTTTGAACTAAAGTTACATCTAAAATTCCTGATTTACTCTAACTTGTCATTCAAAGAGTGACAAGTAATAAAAAGTAACAACCAATAAGTGACAATTCTGCTAAATAAAATGTCTAGTTTAATATTGACAGCCCGAGCTCATGCCTATCACCCACATCTCTGTGACTTGCAATGATCTCATCGATCACTTATGAATAAGGCACATCAGAAATAGCAGCGCAGGATGATTGCAGTGTTTTGATTCAGTTCTTATTAATAGAGACATCAGTGAAATGATGGGTTTAATGTAGATGTCACACAAACTTTCCCATGTAGTCTCATTTAGTCCCAGAAAAAAAAACTTTCCATGATGCTTACTCACCACATAAAGCACTCAGCAGAGGGGAAAATAAAGAAATGACGTTTCTGGGAAAGCAATTGGGGAAAACAGATAAGTTAATTTGACCGCACCTCTCTGTCCCACAAATGTGCTTTAAAACTGTGCTCCCCTTCTCCCCCAGAGGGAAACCTCTCCAGGCTCACTAATGGAGTGGATGTCCATGAAAATGAAGGAGGCCCAGAAAGCATGAAAGGCCTTTTTGCTCCTTAGTAAAAATGCAGGTGATCTCTGCCCTTCTGAGGTTAAGACCACTCTATTGAAAGTGAAAGTTAGTTGTGCGTGTCCACAGTTCCCTCGGGCAGCACTGGGTGAAAGATAAAACCATAGGTCATGAAATGCACAGATAAATCATTAAAGCGAAGCTACTGCCTTTATACTGAAAGACCTAGTTGTCAGTTACCAGAGCTGTCATGGTCATGTTTAAAGCACCACGGCGCCCTCACGTGGCCAGTGTTTATTTTACAGTTTTGGATGAACTGTAACCAACGTCTCACAAATTATTATACAACAACCTGATCTATTTTTTTAAATATTAGGAAAGATACTAAAATTGGCCAAAAATAGAATAAAAATAGAATACTTTTTTGTTGGAAGCATGAAAATGGTGGTTTTAGAATTATGTTTTATTTTCATTAATTTGTCCTGCATTGTCTACTCCTGAAAACAGCTACCCCAATTGAACTTTGACTTTTTGAATCCTTCTGAAAATAAACCTCACTGTGCAAAAAACCCCAATAAGGTAGGGGTTTTTGACTAAGTGGGTATCATTTCCAAAAAACACCTGGAAATATTTTAATCTCCCATTTATAAATCAGGGCAGCATAGTGGTGCAGTTGTTAGCATTGCTGCCTCACAGCGCTGGGGCCCTGGGTTCAAGACTGGACCTTCGGTTGTTATCTGTGTGGAGTCTGCAAGTTCCCCCTTATGATAGTGAGAGTTTCCTCCCACAGTCCAAAGACATACTAGTACTGTAGGTTAATTGGCCTCTGGGAAAATTGGCCCTAGTGCGAGTGTTTCTGTGTCTACATGCGCACTGCGATGGTCTGGCGTCCTGTCCAGGGTGGAGCTTGCCTTGCGCCCACTGCTTGCTGGGATAGGCTCTGGCCCCCCTGTGACCCATGCAGAACATGGAGTGGCTATAAGATAGATGGATGCATAACACTAATTATCTCACTAATCAGTTTTGATTGCTTTGCTACAGAACCGTCACCATTTTTATTACAGGCTTTATGTTTGTTATGGTATGATTTAAAACTGTTTCAAACTGGTGTGTTTCTATCAAAAGATTTCACAAAAGAGCCAACAAGAATGTGAAGAAAATGCATTCGAAACTGATGAGACATGAAACAAAGACCACAAAAACACCTATGATTTTTAATAACTAAGAGACATTTATTACAGTTGCAATGTAACTTTAGGTGCTTTAGACTTGTGTTCAGGTATCCAGCGGCCTAAAACAATTCAGCAAACAACTGAACTTAGAAAAGACTTACAGGTAATTTCCAGGCTTACACATCTACAGAAACTTCACACAATGTCAAGACTCCATCCCTTTAATCCTTCTGGAAGTATAATCAATAACACACTCAGACACAGAAACTGCTGATGCCAGTCATATTGCCATTTTAACTCACAGTGCAAACTCATTCCCCTGTCATGACCTGCTTCAAATCCAACACTCGAAAATAAATAGAAGCAACAAATCTTTAACACTGCTTTCATTCGTTACAAAATAAAATAAACTAAATCCCACCCACTCTGCTAACGAGCAAAACCACCACAACCGTAGTTAAGTGTCTCCGATCACGAGCCCTGCAGTACGATAGATACAGCTCCATTTGACAAGCCTTACGGAATATGCTTTGTATAAAAGTTTTACAGGAGCATTACAAGGGAAAACTGCTATCATTAAAGTGCTTAAGATGATGGATGTTTTAGTACTGGGGAGATGCAATTCTCAAAGAGAGCTAAGGAATTTCCTGAAGGTCTTCAGAGACTGGCCCAAGTGCCGCACAGAAATAAAGACAAACCTGCTTTCCTGACGTGTAATGTCACCTTTCTTGCACTCTGGTGCTCTCAGACTGCTTACAGTGCAGTTCTGCTTTTAATATTACAGCCATGACGAGTAGCATTGCTTATCATCATTATTGTTAATTTAATCTGGAGTCAATACTCCCACCGCTAGAAACAACCAAGCTAGCAAACCTGCAGCCCCTAAGGAAGATTTCATTCTAAAACAATGCATGAAACAGCTGCGGAATATGCACAAAAAAGAGATTACCGTTGGTATACGCATAAGGTAAAACTGCATCTCACTGTGTTTGAAGTATTTAATTATTTAATGTGATTATGACTGTAAATATGATCCTTTGAGGTGCTTTCATTAGTTATTCATGTACATTTGAAAACAAATTCATACCATATTAGTGGTTTGCACTGACATCAAATCTTTGAAAAATTACTGAAATAAAATTCAAATTAAAACCACAAAGAACACATACTAAAAGGGTATCGGACAAAATCTCATTAATATCATGTTACATACAGGGCACATACAACTTAAATAGAAAATAGGTTAGAGCTGGCAAGTCTGTCATTGTGGGAACTGTGGAGCCAGCAGAGATTAATTCCATGCTGAAAATTAGTTTCTACTTAGTGTGGAATTAACCTCTACTTGGTCAGACAGAGAAGCATTAAAAATCACAATGGCCTTTGACCACATAGTATTTAGCATATTGACACTATATTATAGGGTTCTTATTTTAATATTATTGTGCCCTGAAAATACAACCACATCAGATACCAGCTTTAACCAAGGTAATAAAAGAGTCTCTAGCAACCCCATTTAAACTATCTGCACAGTGCAAGTTCAGAGAAGGATACATTTTATTTACAGAAGAGTATGCTATTTTGCATTCATTTCATTGTCTTGACAATATAGCATTACCCATTCTCACAGAAGACCCATATACTGAAGGTAGACATTGAGCTGGGCTGTGTTCCCTGGGCATCTACCTCTTTTAGTTCTATCACACTTCCGATGAACACCTGATTACACAGACAACAGCATCCCCGGCTCACACAACGAAAGCAACTTTAGAACACAGGAGAGCAGAGCTCGGTCTTTTATCCTGGTACTTCCTCAAGGAAAGGTTAGAGGTCAGAGGTGGTAAGATGGCAGGCGTCGTGTATTTTTGTCACTGTGTTATAGCATGAGCTCTCTGTCCATGGAGCTTCAAAGCTGCAAATTGTCCTCTACTTGCTGTAGTACTGTACATCACTGTGTTTTTCACTAGTGGCAAAAAAAAAGCATTTTTAAAGGGTGCGCTTTACCCTGCAAGCTCCAGGGGTCAGTATAGACTCAAGACAAGAGGATTTGTATATGTACACTGGAGTAGATGTCCTGGAGAGGTGGGTCAATCAAACGATTAGGCACAAACACTCAAGAGCAGCCACAGCTGACAATGACTGGATCCTATCGATGATTCGCATGACAGTGGTATCACATCAGAGGCCAACCTGTTATTGAATTTTGCAATGATTTTATTTACCTTGATTGTACAGAACACTGTTAAAAATACTATAATGGCATCCACTGTTCGGGATACATAAACTCATCAGATCAGGCATGAGTTTGAAAATCTGTCACAAATTGTGTCAGAAATGTGGTGAAAAATAAAACTGAAGTTTCCTGGTTTGATTTGTGATGAGGCTGGAGCACACTCTATAAGGCCAAGAGGGAATAAAGGCAACATTGCTAACAGCTGTATTGCATAGCTGAGGCAGCAGAACAGACAAAACATTACAAAGTATATACATCCCTTATACACAACATACATTTACATTTATTTTTTTGCAGATTATAAAGAGCAGCAGTTAACTATTAGAAAAAGGTATAAAACAGTTATTAGTATATTCATTGGAAGAACTTCTTAATTTCTAAAATACTACCTAGGCTTCAGGATTAAAGATGCAATATTCCCTTTTCATGATTTGTCAGTTTAGGTGCTAATGTCT